TTATGTGAAAGTGACCGTAATACTGTCCATATGAATACCCCAACTGAGGAATACGATCCTCCATTTTTTGTCGAAATACGTTGCAAAAGTATCGCTGAGTACGAACAGCAACAAGGACGTGTACCCATTAGGCGACAAGTATCATATTTTTTTGAAAAAAAAAATTTAACACGCTTTAGAAATTTAATAATATTTGAAAATATCTTTGCAATGAAATCGATAAAATTTACGCATATCAATGTATTAGTATTAAATTATCGTAAAATGAATAAAAGATGAGATAATTATGAAATTATTCATGTTAAAATTAGAATCAAAAAGATTTTATTCAAGGAAATTGCATTTTTGTTCAGCGCATGCTTGAATTATATCCGAGAAAGATTTAAATAATATAAGAAGTTTAGGATTTTGCTAGCGATTCCCACCATGAAATTTTAAAATTGCGATTGTAAACAACATATAATACAAATTGCAAGTGAAATTATGCAAAAATATAGAATAAATTAAATGAAAATCAATTTTTGAAATCTTCTGTTTGTTTCATAATGACAATTAGAGGGTTTGACTTTTCAAAAAGTGCAAACCATTTAATATTTCACTGGAGTTGGATTATTTTTTCAATTTCAAACCTATCATTTGCAAAATTTATTTTTCCTATTTCTTCCCATTTTCAAATTTAATTCGGTTTCAAAATTGTTCAATTTTGATTATGCCGTGCTTTTTCGATTTTTTTTATCGAAATTTTAAATATCATATTTAGAAACTCCAAACATCATTTTTTTGAATGAGATGATATTTAAAAATCCAAAAAATGTGCAAATATTGATGTGTAATATAATTTATGATTGTTTTCATAATTTTTTTCACATCCAAATTATTTTTTTAAGAAGAAAATGATTGAATAGAAATTACGAAATCTGACTAATTTGCATGTTCACATTTATTATTATCACATCGACATGAAATTTCAGGATTTTTAAAAAATCATTTGATAAATTCATTTGTTTGCTAACCTGAATACCTATCTGCCAAACTTGTTTATTTCATTACCACTTAATGGAGAATTTTTAACTTTAGAAACAAGTTATTTCCAATTCTTCGGAAAGTTTTTCGAAACAGAGCCGAAACTAATGTAATTTAAAGTAAAACGTATCATTTGCAGTAGCAACAGGTTATCAAAAAATTAAAAACAGCTTCTTTTTTTCAACTGGCACTAAGTTCTCGAAATGTGTTAGAAAACCTTTTTTTTTGATTAATCTTTAGCGAATTTAATTTGGCAATTTCCAACGAGGAAGGCTAATTTTTCAAATTTTTTTTAAACCCCAAAAGAAAATTTCAACTGTTGCTGGCACGTGATATGATTTAAGGTAAATTTAGGAAGAATTTTGCTTGTGTTAAAAAAAAGTCAGCAAAAAAGTGCAAAATTTATAAATTTGAAAATTGAAAATTGAAATTAAAAAATTTTAATATACTTAGTGAAAAAATTATGATTCATTCATTAGAAATAATCTCACGCAACTTGTAATTATATTTATTGATAATAGTACTCATTCTGACAATAGAAATCGTTAACTTATATAATGAAAACATTTAAACCTATTCAAGTATTAAGTATTAATTCATTCATTTATTCATGGCAATAATCTCACATAACTTATATCTATATTCATTGATATTTTTGATAATAGAACCTATTAACTTAAATAATGAAAATATTTGAACCTATTCAACTATTAAACAATGAAGTATTTTCAATTGAAATAATTGAATTTACAGACATGTGTGCATGGTATGTTACGCTGCGTGCAAAACTACAAGGATCAGCATTTTTCGCGTCGTCGAATTGGCTCTCACAGTTGGCACCCATATACAATTCCTAATGTGCCAAGCTCATGTGAATGTATGTGGCCAGTAGATAAGTATGGACACCAGGAACTTTAAATGTATTATTTTTCTTTTTTTTGATATAAATTACGGATTGGCTAATTCATTTATCTTCAGAATTTGAGATATAATTAAAATTTGAAAAGTTATTTATTAAATTGAAGTCACCATTTTACAACAGCAAATTAATTATGATTTAGTTGCAGCACTAACGGTAACGCTTAATAAATTAGTATTTTACGATCAGAGTTATAATTTAAAATTTATTTCAGTACTGGCAGAATTTTTTCCTATTAAAAAAATAACAAGCTAATATAAATTGAAATCTTTTAATAAATTAAAAATTTCGAAAGATTAATTTTATTGTAGCAAAGTTTTAGAATTTCCTGTATTGTTAAATTTTTTTTATAATTTCAAAATGATAAACTATTGACTTTACATTACTTTGCGCGGAAAGTTAAATATATGAATAGGAAAGAAAACTAACGCCAATCGGGACAAATGATTTATCAGATTTGTTTCGTTGGACATAATTATTTTTAACTTTAACTATTTTCATAATTTTGAAGTGGTTTTTCATAGAGAACTTCGAAAATTTGCCTCTTCTACTTCTTGAGACTAAAACATAGATATAAAAGTGGAAGAAAATTAACAGTATATCACTAATTCAATTGTAATCATATCAGTTAAATGTATAAGAATAAATTATTACTAATTATAAAAAGAGTAACTTATTAATTGAGAATCATTCATTATTCATTCATTCTACAAAATTAATATAAAACTAATCATTCATTCTGCAGGACTGGTATAAAGAACTCAAATTACAGTGAATTAAAAATTTAAGGAACTGTAAAAATGCGATACAAAATATTAATTAATTTGTATCGTAAATTCAAAAAAATTTCACAATAGATTTTTTAGAAATATTTAAAATATCATTTTTGGATTATTTCAGATCGAATTGCTTAAATAATTATTACATTTTAATATGAATGAAATTATGTAACATATGGTATTGATTGAAGCTGGTTTGATTGCTTATAATCAAATCGATTTTGGTCACTTTTAGATTTTGATCATATTTGTAAAATTCATTTGAAATCTGAATATAATTGGATATAATTACCGCTTAATAAATGTTACATAAAAAGATCATTTCTCTACCGCTCTATTCAGATGAATTTGATGGAAAAAAATGTAACACAAAGTTCATTAATTCAGAAATTAGAAATGTATGCGCATATTATATTCAGTATAAATCAAAGCTAATGTAAATGTAATATTAAGATAAATATATATTAAAATTACTTCCTTAATCGAAAATATTTATACTGAAAATATATGTTCATATTGAGAATACACTTTAATTTAAAAAAAATTCTTGTTGAAAATTTTTGACTGTAATTACTGTAATATATTTTTTTAAGATTTGAATATTCGAGCAAATATCGAATGGAAATTGGCAAAAAAAAAACTCTGCACTTCGATTACAGTCAGGGGAGTTATCTGTCAACAATATTTCTTTCATTAAATGTTATACATATTTTAAATATTCATCTTTATTTGTTACTAATATAAATAGATCCTGAATTTAATACTTTTCCATCCGAAATATTGATCGGATATATGCTAACAGGAATACGGTAAATGTTAGCTTTTCAATTTTTTATATTATTTGTAAATTTCAAATGTCTCTCAATAATACCAATCAATCTAACATTTAATGAGTGAAAATAAGCTGCAGATAATTTTGGACCAATTAAATGGATTATTATTTGAATGGGAAAGAATATATCTTTTAAAAAAAAGAAAAATGAAATAAAATAATAATTTTGATTTATTTGATTCATAGAGCTTTCAAGTTCACATTTGCCGGAAATATTTTTGCATAATTACTATTTGTTGTAAATAAAGTTGTCGGCGCATTTATTTTGCTTCATAGAGTTAGCCTTTATTATAACCTGTAAATTTTTCATTGTGGAAGAGTAAAGACAAGATTTTTTCCTCTTTGTTTTGTTTTGTTTTTTTCATTTATTATTTAAAATATTTGTTTCAAATGAAATTTTACTAGTTTCTGTATGATCAATGGTTGAAATGACAATTTTTCTAATGCACCATAATAGTATTATTTCTATATTATTTCAATCATAATTTTAGGTGATTAAAGCTTTCAGTTGTTTCAAATTCATGTATTATATTTCTCATTTTGAATATATTAGTTCAAATTACAAACTTCGTTTGCCCTGATTTATTGATTTTTAATTCCTTATGCATGCTAGTTTTATCAGTGCAAATTAAAAAGATAAGTAAGAAGATAAATGGGGGAAAAGAGAAGTGAAAATGAATAATACAAGCATTAAATGATTTTAATGATTGTTCAAAATGACAAATTTGTTCCAACAATTGTAAGTACAATAATATAAGCTTGTTATTTTTTTAAAGAAATATAATTTTGTATCTCTAAATGTGACAAAAATTCCGCTACTTTTAAGCCTGGCGATCAATATTTAACTTTCAAGTTTGATGCCATAACAGCAAGATTCTTTAGTATCCAAGCTAATTTATCATTAATATACACATTGTTTTTTTTTTATGGTATCATTTCGTTAAAAATTTTTCCTTATTTGAATATTGGGAAAATTAAAATATATTATATCATAATTGTATAATGTTGCAGATTAACGGTGTTGTATGTCACCACCTGTGTGTAAATGGAAATTCGTTATTGAAAAATTTGAAAATATTTCGGTCATCTTTTGTAAAAAGTTGCTCGCTTGTTATTTGTATTTTTTTTGTGCAAATTTTGTGAAATTTGCAAAAAAAAAGAATATCCATGAAGTTTGAGTTCAAATCTTTCAAGATTTCTGTAAGAAATCAATCAAAAAAAGAAAAAAAAGGAAAAGAAAGCGAAAATTTTAATTTCAAAGAGTGTAAGTATCAGGACAGAAAGAAATTTGAATTTTGTCAAATAAGGAAGACAGATAGATAACAACTGATAAGGGACAGAGAGGAAAAAGGAGGCAGTTCAAGTCAAATGATATCAAATATGGAATTTTAAAAATTGATAAAGACATATAATAACAAAAGATTTCTTCAATTCTTTATGAAAAATCATCATTAGCAATACTTCTAAAAGTATAAACATCCGAAAATTCGAATCATTTTTAAGAATCCAAAAAAAAGAAGTCTTCTAAAGAGAAGCAAAAATTGATTTCATCGTATTAAAATACTGCCCTCATAAATAGCATTCTGCCACCTTTTTGTTCAATGCTTTTTTGTTTCATATAATTTTTGTCAAATGTTTCCGTGTGCGAAAAAAATGTCATCGTTTTTGGTGCTTTTTCTATTATATTGCTATGCAACTTTTATTGTTTGCAATGTAAATGAGTAAATAAACAAACACATTAGCATACTTAAAGATCACCCGAATATGTATTTGTGCATGCAAGAAGAACATTCACCGATATTTGGTTAAACGGAATAGTGCAAGGTTGAATGAAGAATTGAAATATATGCGAAATTATGCGAAATCAGATAGGTATTTTTAAATTCGTTTTAAAAGTGCAATTTTTTTTTTGAAGATCTGTATTTTTTTTGAAAATCTAATTTTGCCAATTTTTTTACCCTTGATCCGTAATATTTTCGGCAGTACTTTCAACTGGAAGAATATTATGATTCGTAAGTTTTGATGAATATAATTAATAAAAGCTTATATTTATCGGTTCAGAGAAGAATAATCCGCTGTTCAGAGATGTCTGCAAATGAGTCCCGGATACAGAACGTTATCAAAAAACTAAGTTAAGAATTTTAATTTGGAATAGTTGGTGTTAACGATCGGAATGGACCAGTATTCACTTTATCTGAAGGCACAACTCATATAGTCTCTGATAATAAACGTTTATTTGATCAGACTTGAATATTTTTTTTTGCTTTTATTTAAATGGCTGTATGTAATTTAATTTAAATAATCATACTCAAGCATATTTCAGTAACAGTTAGTATAACAGTTACATAGCATTATACTGCAACTCATTCTTATGTTTTGAATCTGAAACTTATGCATAAGGATTTCCAAGAGATTTTATTTCTCTTTTCTTTATATATAAAGGTCTCTTTTGATAATACCTCTTCGATTTTTATTAATTCTGACTGAAAGTACTATCTATACGATTTTGAATTATCATTTTCAAAATTATTTAGCATTTCAAACTATAACTTCCATTAATATCAATTTATTAAAACTATGGCGCTTGATCGTGAAAGGAACAAAGATCAAGACATCGAACTGAGTTCTGATTTTTGAATCAGAAGCTAATACTTCATATTTTTAAAAAAAATTCATATTTTTTTATAGGAGAACAAATTTCTTTTAAAAATCTGACAGAAATATAAAATTGTGGAACTATATTTAGTATCACTGACCAGGATAATTTCATCCACTTAGTACCAACATTACGATTACTTTAGAATATTGATGTTAATTGTCTTGAAAGAAACAAAATAAAAGAAATTCCTTCACGACAAGTTCCTCATTTACGAGTTGCTTTAAATGAATAGTGAATTCATCGAGATGAAATTTTTTGTATTCTTCACATCTAAATATTCGCCAGTTAAGTTTTTCGTTTTCATTTTCTTTTTTTTGAAGTTTGAGTCGCTTTAATTTGTTTGAAGAAAGTATACCTTATCCTGACCAATTTAATAGTTAACGCTCTTCGAAAAAAAAACCTTTGCAAAATTATGAATTATTCAGCACTGTTATTTTTTGCTAAACATTTCAGCAAGATCTATAAGGAAGATTGAAAAACACTTACTAAGGTATTTTGTATTTTTACTAAGGTATTTTGTAAAAACACTTACTAAAGGTATTTTGTATTCTCCACTTTTATCATCGTCGATTGCCCTCAGCAGTTTTATATCTGCATTCAGATCAATTCGCGATAATTCTCGGAAAGCTTCATCACCAACAAAACATATCTCATGGTCGTTCTACAAAGTAAAAGCCTTTTTACAGGAAAAAATCCTGTCAATAAAATGTTTAAAAAAATACATGGGTCTTTAATTTATAACATGAAATTAAAAACAATGATAGAAAATAATCATTTACTGGATCAGCAAGAATGACAACTTCAACAGCTGCTTTATCGGGAGTATCCAATTTTACTAAAGGAGTTAAAATTTTCTGCTTCGTTTCCTCCATCTTTTTTTGTATTGGTTCTAACTGAAAGTACAAAATTAGCTAATGGATTTGGCAAAGACGCGAAATTGTAATTGCACTTTCCCATTTTTAAAAAAAAGTATATGGAAAAATTATATTTTAGTGATAAATCCTGAAGAAATTGAACATCCTAATAAAAAAAGACTTGAAACTTTTAGAAGATAGCTTACCTCTTTCACTGGAACAGAGAAAGCTATCCTACCAAAACCGGTACGACGATCAATTCTAGCGTTAATGAAATTCCATTCCACCTGGAACTGAAATACAGCAGCTAAGAGAAAATGGAGCTCATGATATTAGACGAGCATAGATTTTTTTTTCTTCTATTGTTTTCAGCAATATTTAGCCAATTTACACCAATAAAATTCAACTTCAAACTAAAGGAATGACAATTACAATAATTTAAGAAATAAAAAAATAAAACCTTTTCTTTTTCACCAGTTGATACAATGAAGCAGTTTTCGTTCTTTTTGATCTTGGTGAAATTCAGCAATTCAATCCAATAATCTATAAAATTCAAAGAAGCTAAGGCAAGAAGAAATGTAAAAAGTAACGAGCAAAAACTTATATGAACAACTCAATCTTAAAAGACTATGCCCTCAATAATATGAATATATTACAATTAAAATAATATCCGTGCGCTTCTTGAAAATTAATCCAATATATATTTGAAAGCACCTATTAGTTGACTGAGGAACTAAACCAATTATATCAATCATAAAATGAACGCACGGCATTTGGGAGAAATAAGTCAATGAATTGAAAAAAAGATAACAAACTTAAGGTTTGTTCCAAATCAGGTGTATTTAATTTCACTTTATAAATTGGATCTGCGACAGCCGATTCAGGACCATGTGACGATATATAAAATTTATGTCCATCAGGATCCTCTACTTCCAGTTCTCCATTCACCATAATGACAGCTTTCTCGTAATTTTTGCAGCTTTCAAATACATCAGTTGATCGAATGCAGATTCCCTGATATTATTCCGGAAGTAAAAAGTAATAATATACTTTTGTAGTAATTGCAATAATTTTTCCATTCAAATTAAATGGCGGTCCTCCAAATCATGGTAAAGTTAACATGGTTCAGCTTTCAACAGAATTCTCATGATTCTAATTCAATAACCAATAATTTAAATCATCAGATGGATTAGATATGGATACATTATAAATTAATTTATATTATAAAATTAGTAAATAAGCTAGGCAAGGATGAGATAAAAAATCCATTCAGAGAAGATATGATAACTTACTCCAAAATCATTACCCAACTTATATGAACTGATTGGATAGTTATACGTTAATTCTAGTACAAAATGATCATTTTCACTCCCATAACCAACCATCGTTTTACTCCATCTACCATTATATGGTCTGCAAAAAATAAAATAAATATGACAATGAAGAAAAACAAAAGGACAAAGATGAAAAGACAAATAATCAATAAATTTGAAATCAGATTAGAAATTGAAAAAGACAAAGAAAAAATAAAAACGAACCCATTACATGTAGCTTTGCAACCTTCCTTAAATTCTTCATGTCGTAGAACCTTAAATATTTTGTTATTCTTATAATAATGGGAACTTTTTAAGAATTTGTTGTGAATTGGATTGGTCCTTGTTAAAAACCACCAAACGAAATCGCGTTAGAATGAAATATTTCTTTTTGAATAACAAAACAAGAAATGGACATTTATACGTTAACATTTAACAGAAATATTAAATTGATAGAAAAAGGAAATGCTGAAAGAACAAGGAAACAGTGTGTTTAAACAAATTTGCTTGAGCTGTTATTAAATTTGACCAAGAAATGTTACTATTACCTTCATTTTTAGAACATTGATAAAAAAATCACGACTCATTTTCCGATTGGCAATTTTGAATACGTAATGTAGCGCCCGTGTCATCGTGAATACAACCTAAAAAAATATGAAATTAATATCAATTTTAAACAAAAAAGCAATCAATAAAAAAACATGTTGCGAATAAAAAACAGAAAAATCTGTATAGAATACAGTGGATTTAAAAGATGAAAGAAATAAATTTTGAAAAGGATAAGATTTGAGAAAGTTTTTTCAACGTATAATCATCACATTTTGAACAAAGTTGGCATAATGTGTATCATATAAATTATATTTATGTATAATGAAATAGAAAAAATAGCATATAACAAACTTGCCAACAAAAAAGCACTTTTGTAAAAACGTAATGCAAAATCTTATGAAGGAAAACTGATACAGTCACGAAGTAATTCTTTACAAATTGAAAATAATCGGCATTTCTAATCGATTAAAGTTTCATTTTTTTTTTTGTCTTTTCTGAAAAATACTTTTAATGTATGAAAGACATCTTGAACTTTGGAAGGAGCTGAAAATTTTTCAAAGAATGAAAATATTTTAAAAAAGCTATCCACTGCAAAAACTCTACAATCATTGTAAACATTTCAAAAATCAGCATGATCAGTATTATCATGCCGGTGCTAGTAAAATATAGGAAAAAAGTAACAATTGTGAAAATGAAATGGTTTTTTTTCTTGTAGTTTTTGGTAACATCGGTGATCATTATGTGATACATGAAGATTGGGATGAAGCCTTATTTATGATTGATAACCTGTTTTGTTTCTAGTATGCAAATATCACTTAACTGTAAGCCAAACAATATATGAAGGAGAAATTTACAAACCACTGTTGCAGCCTCATAACTTATTATTCTTCCCGAAAAAAAGAAAGAATGCTTTCTTCTAATGGCTAAATATGATTTCATTGTCAAATGCTGTCAAATGCTTTCTTCGAATAGCTAAACATGATTTCATTTCAGAAAAAGGAACGAAAAAGTCCTTTTTCAAACTAAAGAACCAATTAAGACAATAAATTTCGATGCTGAAATGTTGAAGACTTTGGAAAACCAATCCATAATTGGTGAAGAAAGAATGATACATTTAAGCAAAAATTTACGCTTTTCTTACATTATTTATGAAAAAAGTTTGTTAAAATGAGTATTAGTTATCCATTGCTTATCCAATCCTCATTTACTTTCTCGCAAACTTTCATCACTCTTCTCTATCGCTATTATTCATTATTGTCTTCTCTTTATTTCGCTTTATGTCTACATTTTCCGATATTGTCAAAATATTTCACAGTTTTAAGTTGTCTGAAATTTTGGTTAGGTCACTATTTTACCAATTGCTCAAATTACATTTACGAGATATTAATTTTAGAAAAGATTTACAGAAAACTCCTAACGAACCTAATGAATCCTTCCATGAACCATGCAATTCCAACGGATACACAAGCATTGGATCCTTCTCAGTATCGCTCAAAAACATCTGAGTTCACCTTTCGCCGAAACCGATACATAACGGAATGAAAATAAACGTCTTTGATTTGTACTGAGTTTGTGGAATTCAAGACAGATCATATATAAGCATATGGCTTCAAGACCAGTAGTCTGAAGCAACTCAAAAATCCATGGAATTTTCATAATCAACATGATTTTGGCTTTTACTACTATAACTAGGAATTCTTTCATCGATTAGATTGGATACAATCGGAACTCAGAAAGTCCTGAACCCAGAAAGCAATCATATCTTTCAATTCAAATTCCTGTCAAAATAAGGAAAACCAGGTATAGTTCACTCCGTGTCTTTCCAAATACCATTTTAGTCTTTATAATTTCCCAGGCTCAAGACCAAGAAATCTGCAACAATATTTCCAGATGTTACACAAAACTACTTCACTAGCTTTTTGACACATGCATAAAAACAACTTTTTTCGTAATATTTTATTCTGCGATTTCATTATAAAATAAGCATAAAGATAATTTTCAGTGTTTCTATAAACCGAGTGCTGAAAGAAAAACATAAATATTAACCGGAGGAGGAAAACTTGTATTGCTATTTCATTACAAATTTTTTCCACAACTCTGCTTACTATTTCATCTATTACATCTTATTTGATCATGGATTCTTCGCACGGCATTGCTTGAAAATTTCGTTAAAACCTTGGCATAAGCTGAGGTCATTCTGTGTTTCAGTACTGAAAGAGTAATATGGAATATTATTGAATTTTAAATCCAATATTGTAGTTTCTGTGTAATTTAGAAGAAATTATTATGCAAAACAAAGTGGAACTTGACCAACATTTTCATATTTCACATATAGTTTCTTATTGATTGTTTTGCTCTTCGCTATGAAGAGAAAAACGATCGTCCATTATAAAAAAATAAATGATACAAGAGAATAATCTCTTATAACAAGAGAATAATCTCAGTCAAATGTTGACTTAATGTGCTTTGCGGAATCCTAAATAAGTTAAATAATGCATGTAATTTCTGCAAAGAGTTACGCTTCGTTGAACAGTTTCTGAAATCTCTTGAATACAAAGAACTTTTGCGAATTTGATATAATTCAAAAGCTAACCATTCTATAAATTGTTTCCACTCGAATTCACATGGATTTCTGTACTGTTGCTGTTGTTCCATCTGCTGCTTTCCAGAGAGAACCATTTCATCGTTGTTTCCATGACCATTGCCACCAGTTAGCATGTTACCAACTGCATGACCCTAAAAACGCATAAATGATTGTTTTTTAAATTGACTGAGATTTGTATCCAATAAAGTCTATGATTTTTTCAAAATATTAAAAGTTGACAAAAACTTAATAATGGCTGTAAAAGTTAATCCAACAAAATTAATGGACCTTCTCATCATTATGCAATGATATGATATGTGAACTTTTCTAGCTCCCAGTATAGAGATAAAACTAATCGTATTAAAAGAACAAATAACTTACAACCGCAGAACCGATAGCAACACCACCAGCCGTTGCAGCCATCTGTCCCATCAATCCAGGTCCACGTGATGGTGGTGCCATACCAAATTGTGCAGTTGGTGTTACACTTGGTGCCATTGGCGTGCTTGTCTGCATTGGTACTGATTGAGGAGAACGTGCAGTCATCGGCGATGATGTACGACGATGTACTGGTGGAGATGGTTTCGGTGAAGCCATACGACGACGAACCATTTTTCCAACTTAATCATTCAAATAAACTCGAACACAACAAACAAACTGATCAATTAACATGATGAAATTTAGATCGATTAATCCTAATATACATGAAAGTGCATAGAAAACCGTCAGATCATGTAATGTAACTACATAGTCCACAGGAAGAACATAATTGTGTTTAAGGAAAAGACTTCCCTATCAAAAAGTATCACATGATAACATGAACTATTTCTTATTTCCATGGTTTCCCATTATCTATTTGATACTTTATTTAATGAATACCAGGTTTTCGAAGTAAACCTGGCAGAGAGAAAAGAATATCAATACATTTCACTGGATAAAGAACCTCGTGATTGGATCATTTTAGCTGATAAAAAAGACAAACAAACTTTATCACGAGTATATAAATTCCTCTGACTATTCTCGCTAACACACGATAACCAACGACCTAACCTCACATTTCATACATTTCACACATTTCAACTCACTGCTGACTCATTCTAACTAATACAACTGATCAGAAAAAGATCCTGAAACACTGGACAATATGTAGCAACGCTATTGCTTATTCCTTTAGTTGTAATTTTTAATTGAAAGGTTAATATTTCGTATATTGAATTATTATTTTTATTGTTGGAATTAAGAGAATATTATTGTGAAAATCATATATATGAGATTTAAATTTATTGTATTGACATGAGATTCTTAACTAATAAGTCTTTTATGGCTCATCTTTTTAATGAGAATTCTCTTTTTTATTCTTTGCTTCATTTTTTACATCTTTGTTGCTGTAATTTTCCAGTTTCGTTGTGTAAAAGTTCATATTTGTTATGATTTATTCTGCTGTCAGTTAAGTTGCTAAGTTGTCATTACAATGCGTGTGATAATCAGGATGTTAATTCATTATGTTCATTTCCAGAAACATTTAAAATACATTCAATATGATGCTGTGGTAATTAAATCCCTAACAAGAATGATATTCAGCGCATTATGTATACGATTCTGAAGACGATAGACGTTTTCTAGCCTGATATTTTCTTTTGCCTTCAGAATCTATTCAAAATGAAAAGACGATGATACTGATGTGCATCAAAATATGCTAATTACATGTTGCTACTGCTACAGACTAATTCATTGAAGAAATAGTCCAAATTTCAACAAATTTCAACACGTTTCAACAACAAGTCTATTTGCCCTATAACATTGTTGTTTAACTGCTACAGTATTTTCTTTATTTATTTTCCTATATGATGGAAGAATGAATGTATCTGCTTTAGATTGCAGTCATTTATTTATATTCACTGTAACTGCCTTCCGTATATGATGTACGTGTTCAAAGAATTCCAGTATTCTTGTACAGAGCTGAACAGTATTTCCAAATTGTTTTCCGAATGTATAATCATATTCTCATAGTCTGGAAATAAATCACCCTCTCAGGATTTCCCAAGGCAACAAGTATTTGAAATTAGCTTTACTAACAGTGCTATCGTTATCAGGCAATCAAACAGTGACAGTTTGCAACCATCCAGAAAGTCCAAATAATCATAATCATATTTCACCAATTTATACTTCAGTTTGTCGCCTAACATATGGCAGGCATCCATAAAAATTTAAGCTGTTGTAATATGCTAAAGTTATCATGCGTAAATTTATGCCAAACACAAAAACCAGTTAAACAATTTCAATCATTGTTCATACTGAAATAATTCGCTTGACTTAATAAAAATACAATTAACAATTGGAATGCCAATATTGAGATATCCAAAACAATTCAAGAACGTTCTCAAATTTCTTAACTTGATTAAATATTAAAAACTGGAGCTACATAACCAGATATATGTGTCTTGAATGCATTATGGAGTTTATCTTTCTGAAACTGCGAATATCCAAACTGGTACTAAAAATTGTTTTCTAATTACAACTTATGCAAAGTTCCCAATCGAGCTTCATATTTCCTTAATTTTGATATTTAGAATCCTCCCATCTTCAAGATCAAAAAATCTTACTCATCCGGCGGATTTCCATAATAGCGTTTATTTCCAACCTTGCAGCCTTTCAAATTTGCTTTCTTGTACATTGATCTATTATATGATCTCAAGAAAGTAAGTTTTATATATAAATTTAGTTAAATTCACAACCATACATTCAGAAAGTTATGCGAACTTAATCATATCATATAGAACTTAATCATATCTTCAAAACATTTGGTGAAAGCAAACATACAGAAATATATTTATAAATGAAATTGTTTTAAAGAATCGAGAACACCAAGATATACATTGATATCATCACTCAACAACTTCATTTCTTCAGCCACCGACAATTCTTCCTCGCCCTCTGTAGATTTCAACTGTGCATTAAGCAGTTCATTATATTTTTCGATGGTTGCCAACGCCTGGAAAGACCACTTAAAAGTTACCAACTTGTAGAAAGCATTAAAAATAATTAGCTAGGAAGAACAAATTTAAGACGAGATTTCGGCCAATTCCATTTTTTTTGGAAATTTGATTTTTTCGGCATAATCAATAAACTCGAAAACTTCATGAACTTACTTTAGTTTATAAGGACTATTTTAATAGTTTAAAAGAAACGAAAAAAAAATTGGGTGACCGGACAAAGTAATTACTTTCCCAATACTAGCTATTTTTTCGTCGAATCCATCAAGTTCTTCATGTAATTTCTGCGCAGCTTCAAGTTGTTGCTGTTCAACATTGTCTAAAAAATCCTGAAAAGTAGAGATGATGAAAACGATAGAATATTCTTACTTATTATGGCAAAAGATGATAAATATTAATTCATAAACAAATTCTCGCAGTAACTTTGGGTTACAGTTTCAAATTTATCAAGCGATGTAATAACATTAATAATTAAAACATAGTACTTTGCATATTGAAATCTGAGCAACTTTTTCAAAGCATGTTATTGCTTAATTTTAGAAAAACTCCATATCCCAAGCCTACTCCAGAAAATAGCTGAAGACTGGAGATCCTTATATTTTCTGATTCTGTTATACACGGTATGCAATTAATAACATTGGCAAACAGGAATTCACAACCTATTCAAGCATTTGAAGTAAGCTTGCGTATCATTACAGATTTGAAATTACTGAGCTGAAATTTCATGATGTTATCTTCAAATTTTTTGCAAGAAAATAATTTAAATTACCCCGATTCTTTGTTTTTCGAAACTTCGCAGCACATCAATTTCAATTAGTGATACTGCATCCCGCAGCAGTTCTGTAGCAGCTGTCTCTTGTTCCTTTGCTTCTTTTTCCATACGTTTAATAACATAACCTGATCTGACGAGAGCTTCTTGTGCCTAAATTAAAAAAAAAAATTGAAGGTCTGAAGTTGCCTGAAGAATGAGAAATCATTCGCATTTAAAATAGATGAGCTCGGAATGGAGATGAATAAAAAGTTAGAAAAAAGATCAGTTTTACTACTCAAAAAGAATTTTATATCAAAAGTGTACAAAAAAGTCAAATGCTTAAACTGAAAAGAAAGGAAGACTTGAGAAGCCAATGATTTGTGATTGATAAACTAGCATTAAACGAACTTAATATGATTTTACATAAAGAATAGCCAAAAATATTATCAAATATACAATACCTCGCATAGGCGTACGATTTGTTCGTTATGTTTGTTTTTCTTCGCACGAAGCTCTATAAACTGTACCGAAGGAATGCGTTTTCTGTGCGCATCGATTACAGATTTTTGTTTCCGAAACTGCAAAAATTGGAAATTGTATTTTTTTTTTAATGAACAGTTATCGTGAATATATTGTACTTTAAGTATTTTTGAACAACCAATTCATAGTGACGATATACTTCTGCATAAATTGCACTGCATGAATTATTGCCCGTTCGTGTTGATCCTTGAAATGAATGAGAAATACAATGAAGTGAAATATACTGCAATACAGCCAGAGACAATTTCTTGAAACGCCGAAACATACTTTTGAAATGCTCTGATCAGAAGTTGGTTGTTCTTTTAACAGATTGCATTTGGGAGGTGGCAATTTCGGAGTTGCGAAGGTGACATGCTGTAGCAATATATATATATATGTACATATATGTATATATACTTCTTCAATTAGAAGTAAAAACATTCTTAATGGTTTCTATCATTTATTCATATGATCTAATAAAATTTCAAAATTTATATTCTTCTTCTATCAACGAAAAACCACTCAAAATGCAAGTTGCATCTGTTATGTTTTATCAAAAAACTAGAAGTATTTGTCGCCAATTTTCTTTAAAATCGATTTGTACATGTCAGGAAATGCTCATGAAAAACCATGAATTAAAGATATACTCGCTTAGCATCCAAATCCTTAGATCGAATTTGAGCCTGTGCCGGCTGCTTCTTCAGTGACGGTCGTAGAATTGTTGTTTCACGTACCTTGTTTGACATCGGTAATCGAATTGCCTGAGAGGAACAAAATCTGTAATATCCAAATGTTAAAAAACTTAAACATCTCATTCTCTCTCTCTCTCTCTCTCTCTCTCTGTAACTGAAATTATTGTAACTCACTTCGCCATTAAATTCACATTCCTTAATATTTTAATGGCTCAAGCAGGAATAAGCAATATGAGTGATGGTACTTATCATGAATTAGACGATAACGTACATTTAATTGCTATAATACGCCGAATATTCTTAATGAGTTCAGGTATGATAACCTTCTTCAACAATATTCTCCGTCTTTCCAATCCTACCACATAAACTTGCTCCTTCTCCATTTCAGAAAAGCTTCTATTCTCGACAAGACTTCATGTCTTCAGTGATTGTTATTACGTGATATACGTGGAAACGCATTATCACTCCTCATGAGAACTCGCACAAATTTCATTGATAAACGACTTTATCTTACTAATAAAAATTTCTCCAAAAGAATTGTGAAAAATGCAAAGATAACTAAAGAGGATTCTCTTTTACCGCCACCAACCGAATTGTTTCATTCAACCATTCCATGCGTACGTGACTTTTGTTAAAAATCGTGACTTTCTGCATTCTCAATGAAATAGCAAAAAATCACGTAGACAAGAGAGAATAAATGGTTACTGATAAAGTGGTACTACCTCCCCCAGAGTAATTTGCTTTTTTAAGTAAGTAACTCGTCTTCCTGAACTGATAAATTGTAACTATTTATTTTATTACAACTAATACACATAAATATGAGCAACTAAATACATAAAGAACAAACAAATGGAAAAGAAAGAAATGAGGAATAACAAATTCAAATGGCAGTTCGTGTTCTTCGGTAGATTGCATGAAATTCACTTTCTCACAAATTCCTCTTCTCAAAGGTTAACCGACCTCTTTGAGGCATGATAGATAAAAACTTTATAACCATATTTTCAGTAATTCAATTCAATAGTCATAAATAATAGGCCAATAATGAATGTTGTTGCTTTTATTCTGGTATGAACAAGAAATGCCTAATGTTTATCAATTCAAATAAGATGGAATTCATTATTATTGGAGGACGGATTGACTTCATCAGATGGTTTGTTTAATAGTGAAACAAATTAATGTATTAAAAAGTTTCACATTTTAGTGTACTGCATTGATTTCATCAAGCGGGAATGTTAAATGTTTAGCAGCTAGGCTATTTATGAAGAAATTATACAAATGAGTAAGCTAAATAAGTTCAATTTATTAAAATATTAACCAGTGAAATATAATACTCAATATGGCAGCGAAATGTAATATTCGATACGGCAAACAACGAATGAATTTTCGTAATAATGCAACGGTGATTTTGAATTTGATTTAGAAAACTTTTGGAAAAAAGTATCCATTTATTAATTTTACACCAATTTTTCCTGACTTTTGAGGTGCTTCTCATATTCCTGTATAGCTCGAAGCAATAAATCATCAGTCTTTTCCCTAAACCAGTCCGCGATTTTTGATTGACTTGTTTCATTCATTTTTAAACTTTGGTGGAGTGATTCCTAAAAAAAGAATCATTTTAATTATTAAAAAACTAACAAAATACATATATATACAATGATTTTCATGCAATTTTTTAACTAATAAAAAGAAACATTAGAACATGGAACTAACTGCCTCATTTTTTTGGAAGAAATCCTTAGACGGATTGACATTTTCTGAAGTTTTTACCGATCGATTTGGGGCTAGAAAATAGAACATCATATGCTCAGATCAAAAAAAAAATCAAAATTACGCTATAAAATAAAGAATTCAAAAGTATTAATCGACACTTTTTTAATTTTTAGAAAAAATTTATTTAATTAGGTTTATTGAGCAAATATTAAAGTCAGAATTCTAACCGAGGATCATATTAATGTATCAAAATCACTAAACCTTCTTTAAACCTTAACATTGCCTCCTGTAATATTAAACCGTTTCATGATGCTAATCACTATAAACTTGTAATATCCTTACAGGTACATTTTTGATCGTTTGAGCATATTTTGGATCGATATTTCTTTTTCAATCGGCAATCATACGGTAACCTTTTCTTGCCACAGATTACATTTCTGAAAATAAGATCACTGAAGATAAAAGAGTCATTTAGTACTGGTATTAACGGTCAAGTTGAGTTGATGTCGAGCAGTAGCCAATTTCACCAGTATTTTTATACGAACTGAGTTGGTTGGTTGTGTTTGTTGGGAGCGTTAGGTTTAATTGAGTAGAGTTGAATTGTGTTGATATGAGTTGAGTTGAGTTAAATTGAGTTGAGTTGTATTGGTTTGCATAGAGTGAACACCGGATAGTAAAGCGTTTACTGATCACAGCAGCGCAAAAAAAGATCTGAATCCGTTAATATCATGGGGTTTGTAAGTGTTGGGAAGTGGGAGCGGTTTTCATTAAACAATTAAGCAGATGCATTTGCACTGACCAGCGTGTGAATACGAAGATGTGGATTTGGTTAAAACAAGAATGTCATNNGAAATAATTTGAAGGAATGCAGAATTAATTAAATGAGTCGTGATATTAAGAACATTTGTTTACAAATAAGAAATTGATTTGATTATTTGTTTGTATGGTTGAAGCTTCGCGAATCGAAATTCGCGACACAAGTTAGCTGCATAATTTTTGTTTTGTTAACTTAAATGAATTATTCATATGCAACTGTTTTCCAAATCGAGCTATAATTAATATCTACAGGAATTTGTAAATCCTTTTAAGGAGTTGCATAAATCGATAAGCAATTTTTGCCTTCATCTCAAAGAAAAAGACAAATCATAATTTGTTTTAAAAAAAACAAAAAATTTTTAAATAAGCAACAAGAATTTTGAGAAAAACTCAAATTAATAATCTTTTGATTTCACTGAAAAAAATTTTGGAAAATAATGTAAAATTACTAGTAAATTATCATTAGATTATTTTTAAAAAGCCAAAAAACTTGCGCTATATTTGTTGTTGAATTTGTGGCTTCCACGAATGTATTATTTTTATTGAGACATTTCTTTTGAGAACTTTGACGATGATTTGAACAATTTTTGCGCTTCTTCTGGATCAATTCCACTTCTGTATTATGTTCAACTGTGACATTACTTTTTCTATCTCTTTCCATATCCGATACGTCATATGTATCATTCTTATCCTCCAAATGTGTTGCAGAATTCGTCACTGCATTAGATGCTATGAATGTTTGATTAATTTTGTCAGATTCAATTTCAATAATTGTCCGCACTTCTGGTATTTGTTCATTCTTATAATCTGTTGATAAAGAAGTTTCCGTTGCAGTTGTTTCATCATTGGAATAATTCATCATTATTGAGAATTCAGGATTAGGATTTGTTGTTGCTGAATGTGATATTTCCGGAGATGAAGGTGAAGTTGATGACATCTTCGAAAGTAAAGCTGAGGTCATGGAAATTTTTGAAATCTGTGAAACTGTATCATTTTTTTCTAATTTCAACAAAGGCTTCATAGTTTTTTGAGAATCATTCTTGTGATTTTTGAATTTTGTAGATTTAGAAGCCATAGATGTTTGATGTATTACGGAAAATGTTGCATTCAACGTATCACTTAATACTTCATCAAAAAATTCATTTCCCTCACTGCTATTCGACCCTGTTTGAGATTTGGGATCTGTAACTTGCAATTGTGTTTGTTCTGAAGATGGATTTTGTAATTCTGGAAGTTGAGAATCAGTAGTCATTTGTAATTGTGATTGTACTTTCTGACCATGTTTGTTAGTGACATTTTCTTCCACTGAAAATATTGGATTTTCTTCCGAAATTTTATATCCTTTAGACTTCTTATCCACTGCCAATGGTAATCCAAATTCATTATTTAATAATTTTTTTTCGTCCAGAGTCATTGTTTTGTTCGATGATAATTTTTTTCCCTTTGTTTTAATAGAAAGTTTTTCAAATCTCGTCAATTTAGCATCATGATTATCAGTGGGTCGAGAGTTAAGAGACTGATGAATAGAGTTATCAGGTTCATTTATAGATCCATGTTTTGATGACTCACTGGAATTTATATGTTTTGTAGGAATTTTGTCATCAGACAATTCATCGGACTCTTCATTGCTTTCGTTATCAGGAGTAATTTCAGTAGCTTCATTATTGTCATGCTCGGAATACACTTTATCGCTAACAGATGATGATTTATTCTGTAACAGTGGTAGAGTTATTTCGTATTCCAATGAATCGGTTTTATTTGAAGATTTATCCTGTAACTTTTGCCTTCGTTTCTTTTGTTTTTCAGATTCCTTGCTAGATTCAGAATGTAACTTTGCTTTTTCAAATTCCTTTGGGATTTTCTGCAACGGTTCGGTAGTTTCATTTGATGTCCATGTTTGCACATTGCATTTATACAGTTTTACTGATCTAATCGATTCTTCCGAAGAATCGTCCATATCAGAGGAATCCGTTTGATCTTCTAAAATGCAGCCGTTTTCATCCACATTCTTTTCCACTGCATCATCAAAATTACGCTCGTTAAATTCATGTTCAATTCCTTCATATCTTATCACTTTTACTTTTTTTTTATTTTCTTTTTCGTCAAGCTGCAAAAACGCTGTATCGAATAATCCGTTAAACTTTTTCGATACTACTGTCTTATATTCTGATTCGTCAATAGGCGTGTGAACAATTAAATTCTCCTCATTATAAATCTTTTTGTAAGTCGCATTACTAAGATTTCCTGATATTTTCAATTTTTCACCAGTTGTCGAGAATGGGATCAGTTTCTCGGAAACATTTGTTGTTTTCTTCATCTCACCTATTTCAGTATTTGAGATGTTGTCTGCAACCTGATTTGAATGCTTAATAATACTAATACTTCTCAGAGGACTTTTCAAACCTTCTTGCTTTTCATTGTTTTCTTTAACTGCTTTCGATATCTTTTTGATGGTCTTTTGCAGAAAATCAAAAAATTTTTCAAATTTGTTGATATAAGCAACGTTTGGACCATTAGCAAGCGTTCCATTCTGATTTCCAACATGTCCATTCTCATCAGTTTTTGAACGAGTTTGCAGTTGATCTTCATTTACTACTGACATAAGTTCACGATCTTTCTGCATCATTGGTAGCACAAACGGTGAAATGTTCTCATCAGAAACCGAATTTTCCTGAATTTTTTTAATATCGTTGGTTTCAATTACATCTCTGTTCTCTGGTTTTTTACTATTGGTGAATATTTCGGAAATCAATTTGGCTCCACCGGAGAGGAATTTTTCATATTCGTCATTCGATTTCATAAATTTCGGTACTGCGGTAACAAATGTACTGAAATGTACATTATTTGCATTAGATGCAGTCAGTTTTCTGATATCTGGATGTGATTCATCATTAACTATGAACTTCGTGTCATCGGCTTCTGGATCTGAAATTTATTAAATTAATGTATGATTATTAGTCTTGATTTTATGGGGATACTTTCTTTAAATGAGTAAGAAATCTAAAAATGAAGCTGCTCTTCAAGAATAAGTTAGTAAGATGTTTCGTTATCTGTTATCTATATTTTACAATAATGGAAGAGTGAAATGAGATGCTGAAATGTTGATATAAGAAGCTATAAACCAAAAATTCAATGACGATATAACCTGAACGACGTTTTCTTTGCTTGGATAGTTGTTCATTATGCATTTTTTTAGAAGTATTGAAAATAATCAAAGCCGGCAGAGATGTTGTGGCATTTTTATTTATAAAATATTGTTGTTCAAAATCATTTTGTATCGTTTGAAGATGAATTTCGTCAGCAATTAAGTTCTGCAACGACACAAATTCGATTGGATCGATATGAGCGTTCTGAAATAAGTATTTTATGAAGGAAAGTAATTATGAATAACAAAGGCAAATTTTCACAAGAAATCAATCATTCTGGAAATTACCTTCGTAATTTACTGGTCTTAATTTTTAACCTTTTTAAAGATACCTTATTGACATCAACTTTGCTGAAAATTTTCTTTAAAACGGGTTTTTTTAATTGCTTCTCATATTCTTGCAATAATTCGTTGAACGATACTGCCTCATCACCGTTCTGGTCAAGACTCTAAATAATCTTTTACACAATAAATGTGAAGCAAACTTAAGATTCATAACATAGATTTTAAATTAGTTTTGCAACTTTTAATAACTTTCATAATGGCAACATTCATTATTGATATTTTTGGCAGCTAGTTTGAACTGAATGATACTAACAATGAGAATTATGCTTTAACTCATTATTCAGTGAGTTTATGAGGCTAATCGGATATGGAAAAAACTAACAGATAGTTTGTTTAGCGCAGCAACAGCAGCTTTTTCCCGTAGTTTAGTGAGAAAGTCGATTAACTCCAACTCATTTATCTAAAAATAAATTGTTATTGCTGCGGCATATATAATACTTCAAATTCGGCACTTATCTTTCTTACTGGTACGTGATGTTAATTCATATATTTCGAATTTTCAGATCTTTGGGTTTAGAATATATCAAATTTCTGAAATTTCTAAATTTATGTAAAAAACTTCTCTCAGTTTAAAAAAAATGACAGAATATTTAACGAAGTACCGTATGATCGGCTCGATGACTAATACCTTCAAAAACAATTGTTGCATAGCTGGGTTCAATATCGTAACGTAAGTCAGCCAACATTTGCGCTTCTTGAATATTCAATCGATGGTCTCCATCAGTGTCATAGATCTGAATTAAAATAAGGAGTTATGAATGTAAATGGTTATTTCTGAAGGTTTGTTAGACTTTATGTGCAGTTTCTTCAAATTTCCGATTGCTGTTAACGAATAGATTAAATGAACTCGATAAGAAAGTTTCACTGATCAATGACCCTTGTTCAATATTATTAATTCCGGATAGGGTAATACTTTTTGTGCTGGAATTCGTTGGTTAATTGAGGTGAAAGTTAAAATATAGGTTATCTTATCTCGAATAAATTACTTCATTTTTACGTATTTTGAAGATTTCAGAATCTTTTTCCATATCTTTACTTCTTATTGCTTCAACAGATACCATTAACGATAATCTAATCGACAAACCTTCAATAGTTCCTTTGCTTCTTTTAATGCCAATAATCTGCTACAATGAAGCATTTCTATCAGTTCGTTCGATGTCAAATATTTATCTTTGTTGACATCACTTTCTCGAAAACAACCACTTACATCTTTCGTTGATAAACCAAGCTCCATATAAATGGATTCGAATACTTCGGCTTCGTTTAGTAAGCCATCGCCATCTGTATCATGATCCTGAATGTTCAGTGAATGAGACGTATTAACCATATATCTCTTAAAGGATCCACAAATTTGATATGATATTCTTGAATTATTAATTAATTAATTGGCATTTAGTGTGTTTTTGAAAAATAGTTGTTAAATACCCACACTGTTGTTTTGGATTAAATTTAATTAAAAAGAAAATCACCTCTAGCCAGCGCAAGGTAGCTTGTTCAACGTGTCTTTGAATTAGTCGAACGGCTGCAATAATTTCAGTACGATCAATAAACTTATCGCTATTTCGATCCGCTTTCAGAAATATATTCTTAAAAAAGGAAGATTTAAGACTGTCCAAGAAATAATGAATCTGAGTTTATTCAATTTTAAATAGATTATATTATGACAAAAAGAATATATAAACTTAACAATGAATAATTAAAAAATTGAGATTCCTGACAAATGAAGATAATTGTTATTTATGCAAAAACAATTAAGATATTACATCGCTAATTGTTGGCGGAAGTTTGTGATTCATATATGCTACGGTCCTCAATTCTCGACTATCAACTCTTCCATCTCCCGTCAAATCATAACGAGTCATGTGTCGATTTACTTGAAATAAAATTTATGTATGAATTTCAACGGACAATGAATGGATGCTAGAAAGGATAAAACTCATTGGACTTACAGTGAATCATTCAATGAAGAATGGAAAGGAATTCAATTTTTGCCACGTAATACATTTTCCATGCCGCGTACCAAATCATCTCGCACAACTTTCAAATAAAGTTAAAGCTTACTTGTACTAAAAGCAGTAGTGCGAAATAACACATTGATTGCAGCAAATAATATACATAATCGAGACATTTGTATATCTAAAATAAGAAAATGAACTGTGCGCATTCTACCTTTATTTTACCTTTATTGTAATTAGTATCAATGAGGATTAGCTGCTTCACTTTAATCCTATGTCACTGAAATGACACTGCGCGCTCGAGATGTTGCATATGAAATTCGTTGACCGAATTACAAGTTTACGATTTTCATTTACAAAATTTTCAGATATTTTAGCAGCGTTTTGGAAAAGATTCTTGGTAGCTTACTTTACTCCTTTATGTAATAACAAACATTATTACTATTTATAGTTGGACTCTTTTGGATAATGTATCTTCTATCGAGAGAAATTTCGTTATTAAAATAAGGAATGTATCACAAATCGCAAAATTCTCGAAAAAATTGAGATAATTATCATTTCGATGAGATAAAAATGAAAAATAATCCAAATAATTCCAAAAAAAGCGTGAAACAATCAAATGTTTCGACAGGAAATTAGGCGAAACGTTGTCAAAAAATCTGGCATACTCAGATGAGCTCAATTTCGCTCCATTTACCCATGTCATGTGTCCCACATTAGTTTCATAAATTTTTAAAAAAACTGCAAAAAAAAAAATTATCGCAAGAGTTTTCTAGGTCAAGATAGTAATGATATGGCATGTTTTCTACAATGAATATCTCTGAACGAGACATGACCTCAAATATTTTTACAAAATTGAAAGAAAATATCTATCATCTAAGAACGGTACTTCAGTTAGGCATAATTCCAATTATCTTGTCATTTTTTTCTTTTTTCATTCTAAATATTTGATATAACGAACAATTGTATGTTGATACATTCCTAGTTCGCATCAAGAAAAAAAAAAGAATGACACGAATAACACAACCTTTCATATTCCACGTACCGCCGATATCTCATATGCGGATGATAAAGTACCAATAATTTGCAACAAATAAACCTGCAAGCAGTACCCCATTTGTGAATGATACGATTGCAACTCATTTGTTTGCGAGGAGTAGTCGTAAAGTGATTCGTAATTGTATGTCAGGATTTAATTTACCAGTTGTACTGCAAAATAATACACAAATGTTAGCACCAAATGGAAATGAGTGACGCTTCTGCGCCTCTGTTACATATGAAATATTTGTCAATTATCCCACAAATTTAATCTTTGTTTAGCAGTTGAGAATAAAGTTTTGTTCTGAAGCCTGAACAAATTCATCTTTCGAAAAAATGTGCTTTTATTTGCATAATATTCCAAATGGAAATAAGTGATGCTTATAAACGACGAAAAATAGCAAAGCTATAATATCAAATATTTCAAGTATTAAAAAAATCACTTTTCCAAATTGAATAACACAAGTTAAAGACACAGTAGCAATCACAGGAAGTAGAATGCTATTAATAGAGTACGGTTCTTGCAAAAATGGAATGAATATTCTCTTAATGATAGGGTATTTTTCCGCGTCTTTTTAATATCAAATTTTATCACAGCTATGTTTAAGAAATCAAGACTAAGATATTATCATTTCAAAATACCAAAGATTCTGCGATAAAACAGAAATGGGTAAAATGTTTAGACAGTTAGGAAGTCTAAAAAAGATCAAAAATGAGGTGTGATTTGGATGATTTATGATTGCAGTCTACAATTTTGATTCCAACAATTCTTTTGTTAGTTCATCTGGTTCTCGAATTTCCAGGTTCTGAAAAAAAGAAGTATTATAACTTTCTAGTACAAAAACGAAGCACTTTTTCCAGAATAAACTCGCAAAGTTTAGCAGAGCAGACTTAAGAAGATCAAACCTTCTTTTTCAATAGAGGAACTACAATTGAGAATATAACTGTACTGAGATTGATAAAAATACAAAGCACGAAAGAAGTCATGAAAAGAAACTAACAATTATTTTATATGATCTCCGATGTTTTGTATTCACATTCACTGTTTTCCATTAATGGAAATAAAAAAGAATTCTCAAGTTTTATTCTAGTATGAAACTAGAATGCATTCATAAGGAAAAAGTCAGAAATTAAGCCGCACAAAAATTTAAATGAAAGTATTATTCAAAAATATTTCCATTACTTGTCCCATTAAACCCAAAAATCTGTTATGCGCAAAGTAAATCATATACACACATTGCTAATCAGTTAAAATATCGTACTTGAAGTTCTGAAAAAAAATGACTAATTCAAGGAATGAAATACCTTATTAAGCTCACATTCCTTCGCTAAATTATTTCTACTGCCGGCATACATCATTCGCAATTGTGGATTGCATCCTAAAAAATTCATTAATTGGGATTTATTATTCGGCTAAAACATATTCCAAACTAAGCTAAATATGCACTTTTATCAAGAACGAAATCAAAAGCATTCATACCAGCACTTCCCACCTTTCATCTTTCCCAGAAATATATACAGTATTTTATTTAATATGTAGTATTTTATTCATGAGTATTTTATCCTAGAAATATATTTTATTCATGATCAAAGAAACCTGACGGACTGTAGAGAACAAGACAGAGTGGATACGAAAGACGTCCATCATCGTGTACACGCTCATAGCTTATTACAATAAATCGTGGTTGTTGCGCTGGTAATTCATCAGAGATCACACTCGGATCACAATTCTAAAAAGTAATTTTGTTTTGAATAATTGTAGTAGCAATTATTCAAAAATTCTGAAGCTAATTTGAAATACACTATTTTCTTGAAAAACTATTCAGTGGAAAAGAGATATACCTCAAGTTTCTGGTCCAATATAATGAGCTGTTTCGCAGGATCAATTTTCACTGCAAATTAATTTCATGATCAAGCTAAAAACATTGAGAAAAATGTGAAATACGACCAAATCAAACTTAAATTGTCGTCAACTTTCATTATGAAATGACCATCTACATCAAAAGTTTAAAATCAATTAAAAAAATTCACTTTCATTAGTTTCAGATCAAAATTTTTCAAATGGAATTAAAATGAACATATCAAGGCATTTGTTGAGCGCTTTCTACTGAATCGAAATCGTTCCAGTTCATCTTTCACATCCGTCGGTATCGCACATATTTTTAATGTACCCGTCTGAAATGTCACCAAATTTAGTTCCAAGAATATCAAGAATAGAAAATGAAAAAAAATGATAGGCTTCACTTCCATATTTAAAATTTGAAATTATATTTCCAAATTTTAAAAGAAAACAAAGGGAAAAATAGACGGAAAAAATAGTCGAAAAAGTAAATTTAGAACAAGTTCGGTAGCTACTTTTTATTTACATGATTGAATAATTTATAATAAATCTGACGAAAGCTTTTTGAAGCGAAATTTAAAAAATTAGAAATTTCCGAGAAACACAAACCATACTGCAGTGATGAAACAGCCACACACCTTTGAACAATTCTTTGTCTCTATGAATATTTACATATCGATCTTACATTTTTCGAAACGCGAAAGAAATTCGATGAAATTAATATATTCAACCCAAGAAGCCACTTATAATTACTGTTATGTAAATGATTACAAAAACTTAGAACTGAAAATGCATTTACTTTTTTTTACAATGTCTCTGAGTAAACACACAATTGCAGATCAAGATCAGACTTACAACCACTCATCCATTTCCTTCATCCTCTAATTTCAATTCATCAGTCAGTTCAATTCTACTGAATGAGATCAAGGAAACGATGAAAGCGCCATTTGTTACAACTCGGTCTCTCCTTTATCCAACTATATGACGTTCAAAAATCCAAACTAAAAGATAAAACTCGTTCCTAAATAATTTATTATCCTAATCATGAAAACTCTTGAACTATTTTATTAAAAAACTTTAAAGTAAGTGGTGAAACTTTCCCAAAAATTATGAAAATTCGCTAAATTAAGATTCATCCACAGTTTTTTTTACCATAAAAGTACAAGTTAGGACTTTTGTTTGGACTACACTTTTCCTTCAGAATCGTTAAGATCTCTCCAAAGCACAGATAAGTTCCTCTAAGAAATGCAAAAGATCTTCTAGATCATCAAAACAATAAATCAGTTTTATTAACATTTGTACTTGAGAAAAAATGAAATCTTAACTGTGAGAATCTGATTTTAAGATAACATAAAATCAATTAAAGTGTAAAAGTAACGGTCAGCAGTCATCCTGAAAGTAGAAGCAACAAGGAATGTAAGGTAAATTGTGCTTGAACCACTGATTCATCCAAAACTATTTCAGGGCCGCTTTAACAACTATTTTTTAGTAACCATTATTAATCAAGCTCATAATCTATAATTCATTTCCTCTTCCTTTTGAGAAAGAAAATAATACTATTTCAGAGTTTAGTTACGTCAATCCCAATGAAATAAAAGACCTGGGAATGGCAAACATACTTGGCTCATTCACAGTAAACAAACAATAAAGTTTCGCGAGTAAAAGAAATGATATAATTTAAGAGTGAATACCAGTAATGACATCTCTGTAGCATTCTAAGAAATTGACTCTTCATATCACGTGAACTAAATTTATTTTAGATTGAGCTACATTCTAAGTAGAACATAAGGATAAAAGTGACTACTAATCCCTTACTCAATTGTGGAGGGAAGGAACATAAAATGGCACAAATGCGACATGAAATGCATATAGAACGTACACAATAAGACATGTGCTATAAAAATATGTCAGTAATTCTTAATATGAAAGACTAATAATGATAAAAAAACAAAAATAAAGATAAAGTAAAACCAGATAAAGTAGCATTACAGTAAACGAGCAGGACTCAATATATAAATATCATTACTAATTGTATGCGTAAATGGATGGCGATTATCACCTTGCATATCGCTACGCATTCCACCAAACATTATCAGCTCTCCTCGACCAGCACACAGAGAATAGAGCATCGTATCATCTGGTGCGTTTAAATCGATTTCTTGCTGGCGCCATCTAAATACAAAATTTCATCTTTAAATAAATGAAACATAAAAGATCTACACGAATCCAAGCTTCCTCTAATTAGCTGTGTAACGTATCAGTTCATCAAGATTATATAACACGCAACTGAATGCCGTCGTTTTCACCTAAATTTTCTCCACCATTCAGCATATAACTACCTAGTTCACCAAATATGCATCATAATGGTTTCAACAACTTACGTTACTGTACAATCCTCCAAAACGCGTGAAGTATCGAGTATATAAACACAAGCATTCACTAGACGCTTTCTATGATACCAGTATTCTGAAAACAAATAAAACATTAAAAAAATAATTACAGCATATTTTCTCCTAACGAAATTAATAATGGATACACTTATTTTCGTTATAGCCGTTAGATACAGTTAGTTAAATAGTAAAACCCGATGTAGAGGAAAGAAAGAAATTATTGGCAGAAAGTAGCAATTGTATCCTTGAATAGGATGAAAGTTAATGAAGTAAGATAGTGAAGAGAAGATGAAATCGATATGATCGAAAGTGCTACTTGCCTAGCAACCATTTTAGCAAGTGATGAAATAATTTTAAAACGGCAAAGAACTTACTTCGAAAATTTCCCATTGTTGTACCAGGTACGCTATTACCATATTTTAAACTGCTGAAAAACAGCGAGAACAAAAAAGTGCTCCATGAAAGATGAAACTTTGGAAGTGAAGTAGTAAAAATCTAAATCGACTCATGAATCTCAACACATTTTTCTCATTCTTCATAAAAAACTAACACCATTCAAAAAATCTGTCAGACGGAAAAAATATAGAAATAGCAAATACATATAAATTCTTAAAATGATCTTCTATACAGCCAAAAAAAGATCTCAAAGATTTTTATAAAACTTATCAAATAAAAGAACCTTCAAAACAAAAACATATAAAGAAAACTTACTTTTTAACACGTAATGAAGAGGTAGATGGTTGACAACCCGAAGAATTCAGTCTCTCATTCAATGTGGGATCCATATTGTTTCTACACCTAATACATTAACCTTAGATTTGAATTCTAACAAAATTTACCGTTTATCAGCGATGTTTTTCAAAATAGTTTAAATTTCAATAAATTAGATTTGAATTTATTAGGAATTGTACCTTGTACAAGAAGGCTGTAGCATGGCGTTATTCCCTGGACGCAGTGGCTAAATAAAATTATACAATAATTTAATTTAATTCACACCACATTTTGTAACTGAACAATTTCATTTAATAATCGCTTACCAACTGAATTAAGTTTTTTGAAGTAACTTGAAGCGGTGCTGGGTACGAATTTAAACTGATCGCGCTATATCTAAACGATCTTGACATACTTCTTGATCTTTGAGAAATTATTTCTATTATATGAAACAAAGTACAGCGAATGTTAAATACATGGCTCTGAAATCGAAAATTATAAAACTTTATAAAACTTTAAAGTTCTATGCACTCAAAAGACATATATTTTGAAATGACCATACCCACTGTTCTTTTTCGCATAACTTATACATGCAAGATTCCGTCCAATTGGACATGCTGGATGGCACCAAAGTTGAGACGGACCTAACTTTGGATTCGTAATCTAAAGATAACAATTAAAAAATCTGTTAGGAAAACATTAAAACATATATTTAAATATTACTTTGGTTCATAATGTTTACTCCAGTAGTTTTTTGATTCTACTATATTTCCTCAAAGATATAAAATTAGACAACAGTATAAACTAAACAGAATCTGACAAGCATTCCTACCAATCATATAAATACCTATGATATAAATGTTGATGCATTTGGATTATATTTTAAGAGTTAGACATGACTATCTTAAATATGAATTCAATTGGGTAGATATGCAATGCAGTTAAAAAGTATTTTTTTAGCATCAGTGCCAAATCTATAGAAATCTTCCATAACAGAGATTAAGACTGACATTAATTTGCTTCCATTCCCACGCATGTTGCAGCGTCAAATCGAACGTAAGGAGCCAAGCATCGTTATAAATACAATTTGGACCACCACAACCACCAACAACGAGCAAATGCGATTTGTCAATTACCACGCATGAGCTACCATAACGGGGGTTCGGCTGTGGACCTTTCAACAAGAACGGTTCATTTGACGCGTCTAACTTTTCACAATTTCCATCTTTATGATCCCTGCGAAAAGTGATGTATGATATATTCAATTTTTAATAAACCAACCACTAAACAGAAAGCGATGAAATATACTACAGAAAATGAGCTTGTTAAAGCCTTTAAAATATGACAATGAATAAAAAAATTCGGTATTCGGAAGCAACAAATCTAAAATCGATAGAAAGCAAACTTACTCAACAAATGATGGTGTGTGCCAAATTTTATTAACAATATCCAAAACATAAACGGCATTTGTAGCACGGCTATTCTGAGAACCACCAAAAATAATCAGCGAATCATCAACCACACATGCACAATGGCTTGCAATCACAGGTGGTGGAGGTTCCGTCTCGACCTGAAGTAAAATATTAGGGAAATATCAAAAATAATGCGTTTGGAGAAAATCGGGAAGATCTTAAACGTCCAAATGTTGCTCATTAATCGTCACGCAAATAGAAAATTCTTTTAAGATTACTAGATAGCAATAATAGAGATAATTCTGCTGAGCAGAATTATCAACATTTCTCTTGATTATTCTATTTTCTAAGGTTCGTTTTCTGCTAAATATCTCATTCACATGTTAAAGCAAATCTCTTAGTCGAATGATACAACTCCATGGAATGTGAAGCATTTACAGTCTTAAGCAATAAATTAATGAATGTATCACAACTTAAGCAGTACTTTACAAAGCAATACTAACTACATAGATTCTCTGAATAGATTCTGATTACCTCAATCCATTCATTCGTTATAGTATCATATAAATGCATCTCATTAAAAAAATTTGCTGCTTGGTGAATTGGGTTTGGAGATGACTTCGCAAATCCACCATGAAGGATCAAATATTCTTTGTAAGGCAAAAAAATGGACATTGCTTTGGGTCGAGGGAATGGAGCACACTTAATAAATTCCCGGCACCAACTGCGGGTTCTCTGAAAGTACAATTCTGAACTTTCTAGAAAATGTAAGGCTTCGATCTTAAATAACAAAGTAAATTAAATTACATATAATTTTCTCTGAAAATTCAACAAACAAATTTATGAAGATAGTAGAGATATACCAGATTAAAACTCCAGAGATCATTGAAGGCGGTATAATTATCGGTGCATCCACCAAATATATAGACTTTTTTAGTGCCATCATGATAACAACTTGAATGTGAGCAACGTTTTGCAATTGCACCATCTCCTTCCTTTTCTGCAGCATGCAGTTCCCTGGAAATAAAATAAACAATTATTTAAAATATCTTTTCAAATAAATTTCAACATCTAAAGATTCCTTTCAAACATCATGATTGATAAAGCATCTACCGGATACAGCTATCAGTAAATGAAAAAGAAAAGTACCACGTCATTTTTTGAACGTTTTTATTTTTGCACCACAAGAACCTGCCTAAAAAAATACATAATTCTGATTTCAACTAACCAAATCAGTTGATTGCATCGAAGGAAAGATTTCTTCAAGATATAAATGACAGTGTATGCAACGCGATGCCATCGACGACTAACCAATCGGACATTCTCTAAATCGCCGTACTGATTTAAATGTGAAAAGATTATTTCCAAAACGAGATCCGGCAATTCGTTGATATCCATAATTGCATCCAAATCACACGTCTAAATAATCCGAAAATTAAAATACAAAAATTTAAAAGACATATATTGCACGCTTCACACGCATTAATTCCAGTTGCATTATACTTGTACGTGTACGTGTATTTTTCAGCATATATGATTTAAAAATCACAGAAATTGGCTGCTCCTTCATATATGAGAGTCTCATGTACTACAAAAGCAAGTTTGGAAGCATAAGCGCATTGTAAAGCATTTCAAAATGGAAATAAAGTGGATTAATTCACTGTCTTCCAATTTTATTTCTACCTTCCTTCTTTTTACGTGATAATTAATTTACTCTACAGTAGCGGTTATTAACAGTTGCAAAATAACAGACAGTTAAAAATATTAAGGGAAAAAATGCTGAAAGACTGAAATAGTGAAGAAAAAAAAAAACAACTCCAACTTGACGATTTGTCATTTGCATAGATCCGCTTCAATTCTTAAAATATCCAGTGGGGAACCTCAATAATAACCTGACGAGCACAAACATTTACTCTTCTGGGATAAGCACACCTGGCAGTAATACAAATTTGTCCATAAAGGGAGAGAGAGCGAAAGAGGGAGCAAATCAGCAGAGATACTAATCTTTCTATTGTCTGTCAAGAGAAAAGGAGACATTCTAGTCATACTCCTCTACTCTCCTCTCTCTCTCTCTCTCTCTTCGCCTTATCTTTTCTCCCTCTTTCCGCGATTTTCCTCTTCGCTACAGGCTATTTTCTCATTGCTATCCTTTACCGTACTATCTCATTGAAAAAATGAAAATAAAGTTGAATTATTTATGAGTTATTTACTAATTTATTATTCTCATTTAGCGGTATGACATTTTTATTAATTAAATTTATTGATTGAACTTAATTTTATACTTAATGAATTTTTTATGTTATTATTTGTTGTGAACTATCTGATCGTCTAAACCTCATCATTATCACATTCTTTCAATGGAAATGGATTGATTGTGGAAATGTTACAACAGATTTATCAAGTTCACTTTCTATTTATTTCACAAAGTAATTTATTAAAGGGTGATGAGTGGAATCAATAATTTCAAGTTTGATTTATGAGTGTTGTGAATAATTTGAAAATTTAGTAAGAGAGGCAATTTCTCAATTATCTCTTTTTCATTCATTTTTAACTGTTAAAAATGCTCTAAGAAAGGTTAAATGATCGATTAAGTTAATCTTTATCTATCACAAATTTCATTTAATTTTTCGAAGATTAATTTCGATTCAAATGTATGCAACATTAAGTAATATAAATGCACAGTTTTTAGAAGTGTCTAAATTGACAGCAGTGAATTTGGAGGATAGTGATGCCAATGACTGCATCATCCTTCTCGGATACGATGCTCTGTGGACAGCATGTACGAATTACAGTCGCTGCTAGTCAGGTTTGTTTAATGGTTTCTGTTACTGTTATTGCTATTACAGTTTCTCGTATTGTAATGATGGAATGCAGATCAAATAAGCATCAAGTGAACACGATAGATAATTTGTGTTATTTTTGGCAAGTTTTGCTATTAATATGTTATCAGTGATTGATTGATTGATTAACGTCAAGTAAAAATTACCGACAGTCAGATCAGAAAGTTAAACAAAACAATTTGCCAGTCAGAATTTTGAATTTTTTTTAAGAGACTCATGTGACATCTTCTGTGAATGCTACAGTATTTTTTGCTTCACTATCACTTTGTGCTTTTTTAAAATAAGCTAGTCTAAAAACTAAGCGGGATTATATCTCTGCTTCATCATATTATCATCATTGTCTCGACTGTTCCTTCGTAATCATTAGTGCCTCCACCACTCATGCTGCTTTAAGTACATTATCATTATCATTTCTTTGTGTGCTTAAAAGATTTTAGCTAAAAGTTTCTAGGGTGGTAGAAGATATATGGAGGATCGAGTACACATCGAATGTGTTCGACTTCCCGATGGCACTGTCGATTATCTTTATTTTGCTGTTTACGATGGCCATGGTGGTTCAGAAGCTAGTGATTACGTTCGAAAACATCTTCTAAAAAACATTCAATCACAGTACGGCTTTGATGGTGATGATGAACAAATGCTAGGCGCTATAAAAAAAGGCTTCGTGGAGACACATCTTGCTATGTGGAAAGTTGTCGGTTGGTATATGACTCTATATGCGACATCCTTTTTTGTAAATTCTGCTGACATTTATAAATTTGACATTTGCAGTTTCCTGAAATTTAAAAATTTTTCATTATTAAGAGTATTTTGCAGACGATTGGCCTCTCACTTCCTCGGGTTACACCAGTACAGCAGGTACCACTGCTAGTTGTACTTTTATTCGACGTGGAAAAATATTCACCGGGCACGTCGGCGATTCCGCTGTAATCCTGGGAGAAATGAGTGGTTCGTTAAAATTCTTTTCTTGCTCTTTTTACTTACACATTCCTGTGCGCAGTTCTATTGTTTTCCAAATTCATTGTATTCAGAAATTTTTTTGAATTTAAGTAATTGAAAAGTATCTCTGAATCGAAACGAATTTTTAGATGGTGAAATAAAAGCTAGCAGTTTGACAATTGACCATAAGCCCGATAATTCTCTCGAAGTGCAGCGGATAAACAGTGCTGGTGGAACGGTAATGAAGAAGTCAGGCGTCACACGCGTCGTTTGGACAAGACCTGTCAGGGGTCATGTTGGTCCTGTGCGCAGGTCAACGCCAACCGAAAGTATTGCATTTCTTGCTGTCGCCCGTGCTTTAGGTTGGTAAATGTTAAAAAGTGTTGGATTTTTTTCTTACATTTTCAGATTGGCTTATTTTAAGATATAGGAAGTTGTAGGTATTATTTTAATTTTGAAGTTTAAAATAACATCTTTCAGAATTCCAGATGCAGTTTTGAAATTCTTAAGCCTTCCAACTGTTTTGAATTTTATAGGTGATTTATGGTCATATAATCGAGAAACGAAACAATTTATTGTGAGTCCTGAGCCAGATGTCGCTGCATATGATCTAAACAATAACAATTTATGTTTGGTACTCGGCTCAGACGGATTAACTAATGTTTTAAAACCGCAACAAATTGTCGATATTGTGATGCATTATGAAAAATTATCACGTGATAAAGTAAATTTCTAATTTTCGGACATCAAACTCTAGCAACGGCGGTAATTTTTGACAAGGCTGGAATTATGAACTGAATTATAGAGACGGAAGAGACTGAATCGAGGTAGTAATCCCAAAGCGGTTTTCTTGAGAAGATTTGTATATATGGACATCATCAAGAAATTATTCTAAATATTTTATCAATTGTTATGCAGTGAAGCACTTTATTTTTTTGGACCATTTTAGCATGGCAGGCTACCAAATCATTCTCGTTGGATACTGCGTCATGCATTGGAAGGTTGGGGAGCATCACGTGCTGATAATATATCAGTTATATCAGTTAGTTACTATCGTAATTTCTAGCCAAAAATTTTGTTTCGGACTGGCTACCACTATGATTCATCACTAAGGACCAGAATAGTAATCGCAAGCTAAAGAAATAATTGAAAAATAGTATAATTATTAGTAAGAAAAGGCGTCTATATTATCATTAAAAATAATCTGTCTAAATAATGGAGTCAATTTGAATTCAATAGGTGTTTATTATCAATGACTTATGCAGACATTTGTTGTACTCTTTCAGGTATTTTTTGACAAAGAGAATATGGAAGTTAACAATTCATCGGTTCTAGCTGACGATATTAATTTATGTTTGGATAAAGCACTTACAGACTTTGAAAATTCAACGATCGTATTAGGACCGAAATATTGTAAACAGCTGAAAACATTGGATGTCGATTTATATTACTCGGGCATCGTAGATCCCAATTTTGCTACAGGTCAACAGCAGTCTCCATCACTTTTATAAACCTAAAATTCCTTGCAGTGATAGAGCTGTTGAAATCATTGCTACATCATTTCATAGTAAATTCATTAGTGGTAGAAGTTAAGATATAAGAAATTTAGCTTTCAAAATTATTTTCTTGGTGATTTATTCGACAATGAATCGGAAATTTTTTGAATTTTAAATTCCATACTTTTATTTTCTAAGGAACTTGGGGAAAGCGATGCATAAGTTTTTTAATGTTGAGGCTGATCAAAACTATTTTAGAAATTTCTTACAATGGACCTGGATATACGCGTGATATTAGACGTCCACTTACCCTTGTACAGTTCTCAGAAATGCCAGTAATTCCACTGACTTCATTAGATCGTGTCTTAGCCATACGCCGTTTAAATGAATTATTTGCCACGAATAATAAAGTTAAAGTGTTACCAACTGGATGTGTTACTGGAGTAATATTGAAAGGAATGGATGAATTATACGAGAGCCTTGTAAAGTAAGTGAATTTATACCCATTATATAACGAAATTTTTGCAGATTTCGGGAAAATATTGTACTGAAGCATAAATGATAGTAGTAGGATAAAAATTTTAGACTGTCAGTGAACTAAATTTTTAGCAAAAATAAAGCATACAAGTGAGAACAACGATAACAGTGAAATAAGAGAGGGACTGTTCTTATGCATCAGCAACTCCCTTGCCATATAGTTCATGGTAATAATAGGCATCATTTTTTTGGGAGTACCACTACTTGAAATAAAAAAGTCATAGCTAAGAAGACATATTCTATGCGATTGGTGTATAAGCTGAATTCTCAAGTGCATTTTATTGTCACTTTTACAATACCATCATATCCTTTGCAGTGAAGGCATTTTGTATCCCTGCGACGAAGATGTAGCGCGGGAAGAGACAGTTGGCAGTGCAGGTAGTGATAATCTTTGCAGTGACGGAGATAATGCTGCAGAAGCAGAAGGAATTAGTGGAACAAATTCGAAAACGAATAATGATATGCTGCATTTGAAGGTAATGATTTTGTTAAAATAATGAGGGTAAGACAAAGAACAGCGGATTGAAGGCTACTATCTAAAAGAGTGATTCATATGAAGAAAGTCTGCTTCAATTAATGAAAACTATATTTTCATATAATGCCTGCCAAAAAGAAAAAAAGACTGGGACAAAAGAAGAGAGGTAGATCAGCTTTCAAATTTTGTCTTTATAGCTTAGTGTATATACTTACTGCGATTCGAAACCGATTCCGAGGTGTCAGTTTTGACTAACAATAGTATTTTTTTCATCATTTGTCAAAGTAAAGAGAGGATCAAAGTTTTACTGTCGCCCCAGTGTTAAGAAATATTTTCAGTATGATGTTGTTACTGCACTGAGTGCATCATATCCAAAATGTTCTTCTACCTCAAACATGAGCAGCACAGTAAGTCACTTTTCAGAACATTGTTATTTGGATTTTCTTTATTTTTCATTTATGAGCAGATTTTTCATAAGTTGTTCAATAAATAATTTAACGAGAAAACGAAATAATGTGATTTTAAGAAAAAAGATGAAAATAAAACAAGAATTAACCTCTGAAATTTCTGAATGTTATAAACTTGCTCTTAATAAAAGGAAATCATTTTTTCAGGAACACTGCAATGTGCCTTTATCTTTCTCAAGCAAGAAACCTCTATCTACTTCTCTCACATCAAATCCTTATCCGAAAATAATAAGTAATCTTTTAAGTGAACTTCTAAAAACTTGGCGGAAACAACTTAAAACTTAGCAAAAAATAGCGAAAACATAGTGGAATTCATTGCTAGTTGAATTTCAGACTATCATATCGCTTTATTTGAAAATTTTTTATTCCAAAATCCTGATTCTCGTGATTCTGACAACATTGTTAGATTATTTTTAAATTTATTTTAACCATGTACGACCAGTTTAAGAAATATCAATTATTTGTTTAGCTCTGTGAGAAAACTTTTTTCAGGACAAAGAACTGTACTTAGGGCATGCCGGAAAAAACAGGCAATGTATTTAAAATCTGTGAAAGAAGAAAATATGTCAAATGTTGGCGATGATAACAATATTGATGGGGACTGTTTCAATAATAATCAGCTTTCTTCGACCAACCATTGCCATGATTTTCAAAAGTTTGATGCTTCACAACGTTTTAGCGGTAAATTTTCGAAATTTTCAGAATATTAATAGCTCTGGATTTTTCATGACAGTTTAGTTTGTTGATAAACATCAAAACATTTGTTTAAAATGAATAATGTAGGGGAAATACAAGATTAGCTCGTAATTTTTGATTGTTAGAATACTTTTCATTTCTTTTATATAAGGAATGCGCAACACTTGATTGTAATCAGTGACTTGTAGATTTTAGAGTTTTACTCTAATCAAAAATTTTTTTTTAATTTGGCGGCATAGCATTTTTTTGTTTCGCGAAGTTTACAGATTTTACAAAAATTTTTTGTTGATTTCATATTTTTATAAATGAAAATTAATTGTTGAAGGTAGTGCTTCGGCTTTGTCTCCTTCGTTGATGTTAGAGGCCCTGCGATATACGAATCAATTATTCGAGCATGATCCTTTTGCACGAGATCTCATTCTTGCCGGACGGCGGCCACTTGGTCGACGTCGTTTACCCTCTTCATCTCTAGAACCATTGCAAAAGAAATTTAAAGTTTCGGTGGAAAACCGGATTAACGCAGGTTTGTGGATGCAGACTTATTTGGTAGATTTTTGTTTTATATGTAAAAATCAAGGACTTCACGACTTTTTCATTAACGAGAAAAGCAGTGATAATTTGAAAATGATTTTCTCTAAATGATACTTGATGCTACTAAAAATATTTTTTATTGAGCATAAAGCAAATTTTTTCAGATCATGAATATGGTGTTTTCACTAGAAATAATGAAAAATCGGAGCAAGATGTTGCAAGCACTAATAAAGCTGAAGAATGTGCAGCACCAACCACTAGTAGATCTCGCGTATGGAATTTCCTTTCCAGTTTGTTAGGAAGTCGTGCAAGCAAAATATAGTGTTTGGGATATAACTCCATCTTAATCTTTGAAAATTTTGTTTATTTTCTTTACATTTTTGATCTTGATATCATCGTCCTTCCAGTTTATCTTTCATGATAAGTTAGGAAATAAAGGTTATGCGTAAATAAAATTTTATCTGAAAGTGCTTTCTATCGCGGATTTCTCGATTTTATATTTTTTTCATTTTAATACTTGCTTCAAAGGTATATTGTATTTTGTCTACGAGTTGATATTGTGGGAAACTGCCCATGTTACTGCTCATTCCAAGTAATATGAAACTTTTATTATATTGTTTATTTTAATTGTTGTGATTTTTCTGGGATTATCATTTAATTGTTGTGATTTTTCTGGGATTGTCATTTAGCAATAGCTACACTCTACACTTAATAGGACTGCTTCGTTTTGTTGTTTTTATTTTAATCTTCAAAGAAAAAATAAGGAGCTGCTTAAGATTTAGAATATTATATTTTTGCAAATTATTGAAACAGAAGTCAGTTTTTTATGAATTCAAGTATTTAATTCTTAGCGCATCACTTTAAATTCATTAACTGATTGAGCAAGCTACAGTCAGCTTAACGTTTATCGATGTAACCAAAGAATTTTTATCCCCTAATTTTTTGAATTTTTAAATCTCTTAGCGGCATTAGTAAAAGAATGATAACTCTTTCAATTGAATGTCACTTGTCGGGTCGTAGCAATTTCAAATATGTCCCATGCACTGTATTCTTTTAAGTGCCTCATTTTAATTCCCATTTTGCTAGCTACGATTAGTTAAAATGGTGTTTGATGGTGCCATCAAAGAATTTCCTGAAAGCGGGATATAGATTTTATCAATCTCGATTTTTTCCTAAAGAAAAGGAAGGTATCCTTGTAGAGCTCTATTTTTAAGGAGTATCATTATTCGATGTTTGTGGCTGCTGTCTTTACTCTTTGATGTTTGGCAGTGTTTTGATTTTCAGATATAAGGCTTTTTAAATTCATGATAAATTTGCAGTCATTTTCAATTCACCATTGTTATTAAGACTATTCAAACTTTCAGTGCGGTGCTTTTTTTTAAGTCTACAGGTGAGTGCCGGTATAAATTGTATTGTTCGAATATTCCTTTATTAAATTCCAGTACTCAGCTATTTTCGGCTCAATCATGGCTATTTCAGCACCATGATAAAATGTCCAAATTAGGGGGGATTTCTCTTCAGTTCACTCAAAATTTTTGTTTCATGCATAAATAAAGTAATATAAACTGAATTAAAAGAAAGTGTAAAGTTTTAGTTTTTATATCAAGACCTGTAGCTAAGGAGAAGATACCTTCGTAGATCATTTTGTCTTCAATATTGTTCTCGATGAAACTTATCCTTACTTATCTAACTTTCATTTTCAACTAACAGGAATAATTCTTCAACAGATATGACAGATATCTATTTATTCATACGCGAGTAATCTAACTGATAGCTATTGCTTGACATCTTTAGAGAGGTGAGAAGTGCTTTCAACATTACTGAACTAAAAATGAAAAATTTGTTGTATATCCTCACCTAGCAAATTGTTCATCTCTCATCACGATTTCATCTACTAAATGCTTCAAAATGTAACTTACATTATTGTCACTTTAATGGAAACAGCACGTATCAATTCTTTCTCGATATAGAGTTCCTTTTTTTTTAAAGCTAATTTAAGATTCTATCTGATTTATTACTCATTTCATGAATCGTTACAGCTTATTCAGTTCAAGAGAAAGAATAATAAAGTCAGAGTCTATACTAATGCATATGGTAATAGCCTATAGATCACTTAAAAAAGGAAATTTTGAGTTTTTTTTTTTCTTTTAAAAGATATATGTTTAGAAATAAATTGAAACTATGAAATACGGCAAAGGTCATTTTCTCTTTCGCTCGTCGATATGAATATTTCGAATAGTGATTGCAATTCGATTTGAAATCATTTCAACGATATAAAAAGCCATGTGAGTAGTGATCAACTGATGTACGGGACAGATAACAACACTATTTAGAAAGAGTAACATACAGCACTGAAGAGAGAGGAGCAGTGATTGATGACCGATTAACCTCACAATGAGTTATCATCGATATATTCTTTGATAAGCAGTCAATATCACTGTTTTAATGGCATATAGAAATATGGTTCTAAGAAATGTTTTCATCATTATTGAACTGAAAGTGAAATATCATCAGAGGTGAAGCAAATATGTGCAATGATGTTTTTCTTCATCAGCTGCATATATGATGATGATAAAATGGAGTTGTTTAATGAATGAGAAGTGCTGCATCAGGAAAAATCGATCTTAAAATCGTTATTGGCAGCTGGTTGTAGCTAATAGCTTTCTTGTTATGGATAATATCTGAATGGTAGTGAGGAAGATTGATGAGGCTTGGATGGTGATGAAGCATTACTTCTACTTCTTTGGGTACTCTCTAATTCAATGAAAAAGAACTCTTTCTTTTTCAATGAATTTTCCGAATTTTGTACAATACATATGAATTTTCTTAATTTTCACATGCTTTCCGACATATACATGTTGTTTCATTTTTCCACAGAAAAAGAAGCAGACTGCTATTTTGTTTCTTTTTCACGTTTGAAACAAAAATATTCTGGTCTGATCAATTTTTGTGAAAAAATATTCTGGTCAGTTTTGCAGTTTTCTGGAGAAGTAAAGTATTTTGCAGCTTTCTAGAGAAACAACTTTTAAAGAAGTAAGGTTTGTTGCAGAATTTTGGTGCTTTCTTATTTGATATTACATTTTGCGTTTATTTATCGAAAGAAATAATCAGAAAGTCTTAGGATGAGTTCATATTAAATAAAGTTATTCCTCTTCAGCTTCTTGAAAAAAGTTGTGAATTTAAGTCACGCCAAAAAGATATTAATGCCTTATTCTTTCAGAATGTGTTATCTACTCTTTTATTGATTTCATGGTGATAATGAGTTAGGTATCATCCTTTATTTATAGATTTTTATATGGCAAGGAAAAAATGTCGAGTTTTGATTTTTATTTTAACAGTTTTTGATTTAGGTAAGGTGAACTGAGCGAAACTTTGATGTAGATGAGTTTTTGATCTTTGATCTTGATTATACTCCAAAATGCTATCGTATATTTCTTTCGATGTGAGAAATATCCATTCAGATGTTTGATCTGTACTTATTACTACTCATTGTAAATCTTTAGAGATTAACAATTAGTATTTCTTTGTTGATCACATGCGTGGCATAAAGTTTGATTTATACTATTAAACTCTCATTCATCCATTTCGCACTGAACAATTTTAAAGTAGTATGGTATGGTTTTTTTGATGTAATAGTACTTGTTTAATGGCAAAATTTGGACATCAGTCTTGTGTATAGGAAAATTTAGAAACTGCAGATTGTAGAGTGTAGCATCATTCGATTTCTCGGTTTTTGAATTGAGACTTACTGATCAAAAATTAGAGCTTTTTTGAAATCATTAATTTCACAAAAAATTTTATTCGAATCCACTAATAAAGTCGTTTTTATTGTCAAACAATAGAAAAATGAAATTTCTCTTACTAGGACTAATTGAAAATGGAATAATTGGGATAGGTTTTTGGAATGTCAAATTAAGACTAACGTTCTCTTTGGTGTTTAGGAAGCTTTTGAGAGTGAGATTTGTGTGTACCTATTTTCTTTACCAACGTTTGGTGGGTGAAATCTTTGATTGAATAGACTGATCTCTTGAGAAGCATGAGGCTTTAATCATAGCATATGTACTTTATCTTTTCAATAGGAAGAAGCATTATGTTTTTCATTTTGACGTGTAACTACTCAGTTTTAGATCAGTCCACATTTTCAATTTTTATTTAGTGGATAGGAATGATAATTTGTTTCTGCGATGATTATTTATAATTTGCAGGAAGTACCACTCAAGTAAAAAGGATGATTGGAAGGTACATAAAGATAGCAATAATGTAAGAGAATATAGGCTGTTTTAACAGATTAAATTTCATCACAGAAGTGCTCAAACAGTAATTTTTTATTAGTGTAAATTTCCAACGAAATGTATCAGTTAGAAAAACACTTTTGTATTCGTCTTAAAAAGTTATGATTGATAATGACTAGTCCATATTAATATTGATAATGAGATCGGTACAAGAAAATAATATTTGCTTCATTTTTTGTTCTGATATATCTCCATTGTTCTGAATATATTCTCTACTTCTTCATCTTTCAGATGAATCCATTCTATAGTGCGTCATTACTGTTGAATCTACCTTTTTTTTGGTTCGTTTATGATATTGATTCCTTGAAAAGACGTGTAGTTCATCGAGGGCGTTAATGTTAAACACTGCATCAATTCTACTGTGATTTGATAAGAATCTCTATGTCGGTTAATATTTGAACATAGAAAGCACAAAGGTGCTAATTTAATAAGACACAGTGATAATGGATGATTGTTCAACGTCACTAGACATATTTTTACTGGATAATACTTTGTTTAAGCTTTGCATGTTTCAGATTGCAATATTCAGTAATTTATAGCAGGAAAGAATTCGTGAAACAATCTGTTAGTTTGGGAAGAAGGAAAAGTACTTGCGTAGCAAAGTCATCAGTAAACAGCAGCGGACCGATTGCAATTTGGAAAAAGAAGGATTTTTTTGTGGTATATTCTTTTTATTTGTCCAGTCTAATATTGTTGTCTGCAATAAGATTCAAATGTGAAATGAGGCTTAGTTTTCAGATTATACTATTTTTTATTAAACAATAGCTAATAGTTTTATATCGATGCAAAAAAATGATTTATTATTTGATAAACTGTTTAGTATCAAAATCTTTGGAATTTTCATGCTTTTTTTGAAATAGGGGTACAATGAAAGACTTCCATGTTTTAAATGAATTAATAAGGGTATTTAGGTTAGCTGAAATTCATATAATGTGCATTTTATAGAATGCCCAACGGGCTGATGGAACATTTCCCAACAGGACGTTTGGTAGCTGTTCTTATGGGCAGTTTGGCATTCGCTGTTACTTATTGGTACATAAGACAACAACAAAATTTAAAATGGTTAGTTAAGAGTATCGCTTACTTAGTCTATATGTCAGACTTAGTCGTCTGTTTGATTAAAAAATAAAATGTAATGATGTAAAATGTAAAAAAGTTGCAAATCCTGAAAGTTTTTTTATAACATCATAATTTCTGCAAGGTCTTGCACTTTGCTCTAACAAGCAGACATTGATTCAGACGAGATAAATTTATCAAATGATGTGCAGTATGAAAATCACCAAAATTCCATGTTCATATGCAAAAAATCATTAACTTGCTTATATAATTACAGCTTGTCTTATGAGAAATTTGGTCTTATTTTAGTGAAAGTAGAAATAAAAAAGTGAATGCAAAGTTATTCGGGCAGGAGAGTTTTGACGTTCAGAAAGAGAGCAAAACGAATTCAAAGGAAGATGTTGCCGTATCAGCAGTAAAGCAGAATGACGATATTACTGAACCGAGCGACATCGTTGGAGATGCGGCGCTGGATTCGAAGTTTGATAGAAAAAATGATGTGTTAGTTGCCGAGTTGAATAATGATGCGCTAGATGCGAATGATGTATCTGTTTTAGAAGTCCAAAGTAATAATTTACGAGAAATAAAGAAAGATCCAATTGACAGTTTATCTCACTCAGATAAGGTCTTGGTAAGTTTTGATTTTATTCACTTGAAATAATTTGCTCCTTTATTAATCTTAATGGATTTAATGCTCATGTCATAACATGTAAAATAAATTTGGAACAGTTTTGTTTAGTTTTTATTTCAGTAGCGTCGAATCATACCATTGATAATTCATGAATTATTATTCATCGTTAATATCTTTAAATATCTATACTATGTGGTTCTGAAATATGAATTTGTTGCCCGTATGTGATATGTAACTAGCACTTGGCAAGATTTTAGTTTGCTTTACTAGTGTTAGCTCTTGAAAGAAGCACATTGTTATTCATTGAGGTTCCTTACACACCGTTATTCTAGAACGACGGAAACAAGTAGTTTAGGTTATCGATGTTAGCACAAAAGGCCAAGAACGCAGTAAATATGCAATTTTACTAAAATGAAAATTTACTTTTTGCCATTTAATGAAGGAGATGTTTGCATTACAAAAGCCAAATGACTTTAAGTACAGAAGATCAGTTGTATGATACATTTATAATAAAAAAATTAAGGTTGCTGTAATCACAATCACAACTCTTCTACAAACATGATAGTAGACCTAAAGCTGAAATTTTTTGAGTATAGATTCAGTAGGTACTTTTGAGCATTCAAACTTTTCATGGCGTTAATCATTTTTGACGCAGAAATTTGCTAGTACGTCAAACAATGCATTCTTTTTATCAGTGAGAAAATTGCGCTGTTGAATAAAAAAATATTCTTTCATTATAAAGAATATTTTACCCATGATTCAATGACTATTTTATTATCTGTGTTGCGTTGAATTTCACTATTTGTCTAGATCTGCTAGATAGAATTAAATATGGTATACAGAATTAAAATTTATCATTTGTAGAAGAGTAGTAATATTTACCTATAAATGCCTTTATTGCTGTTATCCAAAGCTGACGATTGCGAGACGTTTGCACTAAGAAAAGGAAAATTACTTATTCATTTTTGCATTTTTCAATACTTTTTGCAGTATCCTCTGCAAAAAAATGTTGAAATTTCTCAAAGAATCATCTGATTGCTTTCATAAATTGCAATAAACTGAGCAATAGCTCTCAGCTCTTAGCTTGACATGAAGTATGCCATGTCTTGTTCACTTATCTTAGGTAGTCTTATTTTCAATTTTTTATTATATTTCTTCTAATTCGTACATTTGAACAAAAATATTTGACAACTGATGATGTTTTGGTTCGTAAGAACTCAACGTTTGCCGGATATTTTGCTTTGAATTCAGCATTATGGATTATACTGTTCCAATATTCTACCATTTTTGATTCCATTGTATTCAAAATAAAATTTTGAGCGAATTTTTTTTAAAAAGAATCCTTCTTTAAGATTGCTGATGAAGAAGCTTTGGAATCCTCGTTGGTTTGGAAAAAGTCGGAAATTAATGCACGACGTATTTATAATACGAGAAGGGATGGAAATGCTATCGATGAACAAAGTTCTGATTCTAATATGACAGAATACAGACCTTCAAATACACCTAGTAGTGAGGTACATTTTTTTAATCAGTGAAATCTGTTTTCATAAATTATTGAAACTTAAAATTAGGATTTTTGGTACTACGATGATTATTGCTGCATGTAGAGCCATTTAAGTGATAATTCTAATTGAATTTTTACTCTAATTTTTATCAGTTGAAAATTTCTTGAGTAAATAATATTTAAATTGGTTATATCGATCTCTAAAGTGTCTTTGATACAGTAAATCTTAAAAATAGAAGATCTAGACTTCCTTCTTTTATAGAAATTTTCTTTCAAAAATTTATTGTTAATTATTGAAAAAACTTGAAATAAAAAAATTTGAATAGCTAATTTATAATTATTCGGTTTTTGCTTTCTTGTCAGTATTATGCACTTCAAGAAAATAAAATATGAAAGCGGTTTTGCCTCTTTTTTCTTCCACCAGATAATTTCCACTTCCTACGCACCTCGGCACATCTTTTTTCATGTCTCTCCTGTGATTGTGTCAAGATTTTGAACATTTGTCACAATTCAGAATTTCAGGACTGGAAGTTTTTGTCGTTCTTTAAAGTTTGAATCCTATAATATCAAGTCTGTACTGCTGTTATTTAAAATCTTTAATTTTTGAAACGCAGGATGGCAATTTTTCGTTCTACTTTATATTCTGCAAGGAGTCACTGTTTTTCAGCATGCTTTGTCTTACTGATTCTCATGCTGCAGTTATTTTTTAACTCTATACTTTAAAGTAACTGTAAGACTTTTTTTCTGGTATAGTTTTGCAGAATTGAGGTAAGCTTTTTTGAATTCATGTTTTTGCCTGGATGTAAATTCTTTCTTCTCCCTTGAAATCCAGCTTAACTATTTATTTCGATTATAATTGTGGGAATAATTGAACAGTACGGATATCGAATCCCCAGCAACTGGAAGGCAGTGCTATATATCGGTGGTCAAAGTTGGCGATCTGAAGGACTGACACTTTAATCAGCGGATTAGTTCAGATAGATGCATGAAAAATGAAAACTGTAACCTTTTATATTTAGGAGAATAATAAAAATTTTTAATATTTGAAATACAGTTGCTCCACAAGCGGTGATGCAAGGGAGAAATTTTCGAATTAACTCAAGTGTTTTGTTTTCGGTACTGCTACTTCTGTCATCGGTACTACCAGAGGAAAACCGAATTACTGTAGTTCATCCTTAAACTTATATTCATCAAATTTAGCTAGCCAATATTGGCAACAAACCATGAACTTATCTTAATGAGGTTAAAAATTGAATGCTATCGAATGCGACATTTTTGTTCTATTGCTTCTCACTATTTTAATATGCATGATTGTTTTCCAAATGCGTTATAACATGGTTGATAATGTTCACCTTTATGCCTACATTATTCGCATGTATATTTACAAAAAAATTCATAAGAGCTGAAAAGAACACCAATATGTTTAATCTGTCTTTGTTAGAGGCGTGTTATGCCTTTCAAATAGCTTTCCAGCGGAGATAAAACTTTAAGCTTTGCTGCTTGATCTAAATCATAGTGAAGGAAAGGCACAGGAGTTAGTAATATAAGGAAAGTGAAATATAAGAAGCTTTGTAAAAAGGATGAATATTTAGATATATATAAGGGAAGTCTTATGTGCATTTTAAGGGAAAAAATTTTAACAATTTCAGGTTAGCTTCACACATTCATTCCATAGATGTCAATGCTAAAGCATTTTCAGTCGACCAACTGTTTTATAGAATGGTGTGCATAAGTTGCTGAGAGTTGCTGTTTTTTCCTTTGAAAACTCATTGATATAATTTTGACAAAGTTGCTTAATATTGTTAATATTAATCATTTATTCATTCTCTCTTTCCTCATTTCTGTTCTATTTTAATCAACTTAAAAAGAGGGGTAATTTTTCCAGGGAAAAAAGCGATCTTTAGCATATTATAAATAGTCATAAACGTATGTAACCCGTCACACTTCCCTTGTTATATTTCTTCGAATGATTTGAAAGTTTTGCTTCTACTAGCTCTGTTTTACAGGTTTATCAGAATATTTTTAATGTTCGGTAACTCTGCATTCTTCCTGTGTTTGTGTGTGTGTGTGTGTGTGTGTGTGTGTGTGTGTGTGTGTGTGTGTGTTGATGTTGAAAATGCTGGAAGGAACACTTTTTATGTTATTGTTAATCATGCAATTATCTGCACAAAGAAATTTGTGATAGATTTTCAACGTAGAAAATTCCCGTTAAGTTCTTTTAACCAGAAATTTTTCTGAGATATGAACAACGCAAGTTTTTTTCTTTTCAAAAAATTCCATTGATTATGTTTTTTAGTTTTAGGAAATCTTGATATTTTTTTCCTCAGTATTTCTTTTAATGTAAATTCATAAGAACAGCTGCGTACATTTGTCATCTGCTTTCCTATCGGTAAATTTCAAATTCCTTTTTGTATTCCATATACGTACAGTCTGGGTCACACTTTCTGAAAATCACAGATTGATGTTCATTAATCCGAAAAAGTAGCGAAAATTTGTACATTCTAAAAATTCTGGAAAATTTTGACGAAAAATTCTCTACTCAAGTTTTATCGATTTTTTCACTTATTTTTTGTTGCAAATAGCAGTGGATGGGATATTAATGACATTTTACTGTCAAATGAGTTTAATCTGACGAGCTAATATATAATATTGTGACTATTCTGTTGGAAAAAAAAATTATAGTATCATCAGCAAATGTGTACGAGAATTTCTTTGAAGAAAACTTTGCAAAATTTAATTTATAATCAATCTGTCATACATTTTCCCTACTTCCTGATTAACCAGTATCTGTCGGTGAGTTAAAAGTAGCGCTGACATGACCCATATTATGTGATTCTATAGTTGTAGGTGCAGAAGAGTTATTTGTCAATATTGTTCCAGTCGCTGTGTTTCATATGTGCAATTATTTCTATCCTTTGTTTTATTAACTCTCGAAATGACAGTAACAAAACGTTTATAATAAGGATATAGTAGCAGATTAGAGTGAAATGTGGACGAGATGAATAGCGTGAGAGCGTGAGACGAGACAGATTTGTGTTGGTGAATAGACGGTACATATTCTCCCTCGCTTCAGACGCTTTGTCAGATCAGCCTGTTGCAATAATACTATCATACAATAAAAATGTGATAATTGCATGGCGATGATGGGAGCCAGAAAGTTTGGCATCGAGCCACTATTATGCCATATTCCATCAATCATCGTTCTCTCTTTCTTCATTTGTAAGAGAGAGTGGAAAAGATGTGAGAACAGGAAGAAAGTGTATGGTATGAGTGGAGAATGAAAGAGAAAGGATGCACATGGATGTGTGCTTAATTATGGGAGTGTCATCAAATATTGTCAACCCCCTTTCTAGCCGATCTTCGCTCTTTCGCAACTTCCTCACGTCTGTGCTGTCATATGTGTCTGTGTGTATGTGTGTGTATGTGTTCGTCCGTCTATCTCTCTGTATGTATAATATCTATTTGTATGGCGGTGTACAATCCCATATGCATCATTCTCTCGGCCTGTTCGCCACCTTTCTCTCTTCATTCAGCGTTACACTGCATAGTGGCGTGTAAATACACGTTACTAGCTATCGTCGGTTCTCTATTATCGCTCGGATATAAAAGGTGTGCGGAGGAGGGGATGGGTAGGAGGGGTTCTTTTTTGGTCAAACTTTAGTTTTATTGGTAGTGGAATTTTTTTGGGAGTTTCGTTTTATACTACTTTCATCATTGTACATATTATTTTGCAGGTTTTTGTGACTGTTGCTTCAGCCCTGAGAGGGCTTGCGGTCATCGCTCCCGGATTTTCTCACATCTTCCTGTTTCCGGTTTCATCTCCGGAAATTTGCCGAAGAAATTTGCCTTATTCTTTTGCTTTTGAATTGTTGACCTCTTCAGAGGAGAAAGAGAACTATTGAATTCGCTGCGCGCGTTTACTACTGCTTCGCTAAACTTATAAGATGGATCAGGTGGTTATCACAGCCACATCAACAACCTCGCATAGTACAAGCTTTCAGAGTGATATCAATTATCATTATTCCAATACCATTTACCAACCATTTAGGTCTATCTACCTGGACTCCAAGAAATCATGGCTATCGAGCTTCCATATGGATTCTTTCGTTTTACCATCAACTGCTGCTAGTTCGACAACACCTACGATTCCGGCGCAGATTTCTTCACCATCATCGCTTATTCCAGCAGCATTATTTTTCCCCCTCCAAAATATTTCTTTTAGTCCATCTATGATAATACAGCGCCCACCCACTATAGTATCCAGTGTTAGCAACTGTACATCTAACACCTTATCTGGTTCCGGATGGTCCAGCACATCATTAAATGCGGATATTGTCCCACCTTCTAGCTGGGTCGGTTTGTTTACTTGTCTTTTTCTTAAACAAAGCATCTTACTCATCAATTTATTCACAGTTGTACTTAATTCATCTGGAATGTTCTTTGTTTCTTTAGAATTGCTCCTAAAATTTCGTTTATTGTGCATTCTTCTCTCTAAATAGTCCATGCACGAATACATTTTTTTTGCCCCACTTTGTAACAATCAATATTTAAATATAAGCATGGACGATGGCTTTTTAATAAAACGATTCTTTGATTGCATATATTTCGATAACACCAATAATTTAATTACCTAACTTCAATGCCTCTTCGATTCTAACTGGCGAGATTGACTAACATAGGCAATCATTTATTTATTATAAACTTTCATCTTTTTCTGTCATTCATTCTATTTGCCTTGCTCGCTCGCATGGTGCGGGGATTTTCAAGTTTATTTGTAATTGGTCAATCATTAATTACGTAGTGTCAGCGCAAATTAGCATTAATTATACATATGACACTCTCGGTTCAAGTTCAGTATGAGTAGGTGTAGGTTAAAATTTCTAAGTAGGTATTTGGTTCATTAAAACACATGTGATAAGTACAGACTAATTTTTTTTGGTTTGCTTCAATGATTACGAATTTATTATTTTTAGGGTTCACAAGATAGTGGACGAGCAACGGGGGGTTTGGCTTCCTCATTAAGTCCGGCTGATGATGCAGCACCGCAAAGGAGTCCAGAAGTGCGATCTGTTTATGAATTTGAGATACCAAATACATTAGTTGGATTAATCATTGGTATCAAAGGCAAAACTATAAAGGTTTTTATTCATTCATTTAAATGTTATTTTTAAAATTTTGGTGACAAAAGAAGGATCACTCCTGCAATTTTTTGGAACTATATTTGCTTACATGTGCACTTGATGTGTCCAAAGTTTTTTGCATGGATTCATGCATTTGTCTTTTTGTGGGTTATCTAAGTTGAAGGTAAAGAGTTTTTTTTTTAACTTTCAAAATGATCAAATCAAATAAACATCATTTAAGTTTGTAAGCTAAGTAAGATATGGATAATAAAAATGGGTGTAATATTCAAATATGGTTTAGTTTTTATGAGCATCTTAAAACAACCGCGAGAACATTTTTTGAGTAGAATTGGATTTGAGTAATTTTTGGAAACAGCTTGCTTAAACTGTTTTCGCTTTGTTTCTATCTGCTGTTCTGGTTCTCTACAAAATTGTTCGTTCTTCAGGAACTATGTGTCCGTACGGGAGTGCGAATGATTATCAGATCTCATCATACACCGGGAAAGGTAGATTTTTTTTCTCTTAGATTTAAAATTCTGAGAAATATTATTCAGGCAATTATTTACTTTCGGATTCATAATTTCATTGAATATTCTTATAATCATTTTTGTTGAAAGATTGCTTGCCACTCTTACATATTTCTCTCCATCATTTTTTCTTTTTTCCCAATTTTCCTTTTTAATAGGAGAATTGCGTTCTTTTTGCTTAATTATTTTGTCCTTCAACATCTTCTTTTGCGTTCTCAGATTTTATCTTTACCATAACTTGCAACAACAGTAGTGACTATTTTATATGTGACTTTATTCATTATCAATTTCTTAGGTTGTACTGAATCAAAATTTGTGACATTATTTTTAGAGATCTTTACAGGTTCGAAGAAAAATGAGACTTTTTCTCGTTATTTTTTCGGTAACTTGGAACTGTCAGGGATGGTAGTTGGAATATAAGGTCATCCTAAATTCTTTGTGTCGTCTGGTTTTTTTGATATCACCAATTACAGATAGAAACGCATCAAATTTGTGCTGTGGAAGGATCACGTGAAAATATCAATAGATGTCTACGAATGATGCGGCGCCGTTTTCCCACTGCTCGTTTTCCGGAATTAAATTTGAGGCCTGTGCTGCCACCACCATTTCCAGGTCCACCAGCAGCACTTTACGGTACAAGACCAGTGCAGGTATTTTTCTTTTTTTTTCGAGAAATTTTCATCTGTATTCCAGTCTTGGGTGGGTTTGTTCTTCAATGATGCTTGCAATATCGCAATTGCTTTTCAGGCCTTTGAAGCATATCATGTCAGTTGGAAATCAGCTTATAAATTGGGGAATAAAAAACTCATATAAAGCGCTGAAATCTGACATATTTATTTAGGAAATATTTTAAAATGTAATACTAGTTTCCGTGGTATTCTCATTAATCAATATTTTAACATAATGTCACAATTCAATAAGTGAAATAGTGCTATGGATAACGAACTTTACATCTTCTAAAAAATTGGAAGGGAAGAAGGATTCAAATTTTTGAAAATATGAAATTGCAAATCAAAAGGAGTTACTGGTTCATTTGCTAGAAAATGAGAAGGGTTACTCATTTTATATGAATTTTGAAAATGTGTGATTTGAAATATACTGATCAACTTTAATATTTCGTAGTGTTTCCTCCATATGGCACATAATTTCCGTCTTGGAAAAGAAAGGGTGATTGATTACAGATGATAAGATCGGAAAGTTTTAGAAGGCGGAATTGGTGAGCGAGCGCCAGACAGAAGAATAGTTGAAGTGAATAACTACTCTATGTCGTCCATATAAAATTTCTAATATCATTTCAACGGGCAGAATACGTTTTTAATAAACGATAAGAATGAATAGTAGTGTAGTGTAAATGATGTCTAACAACTGCTGCTGTAACACACTGTGTAACTGAATTTGATAGATGAATTCACTGGCACATTCCGGTAACTAACATCTCTGCACAGCATATGTAATAGTTTCAAAGAAGTTAAAATTTATGATTTAATTTTGGTGGGAAAGATATTCTAATGGTAAATTAGTACTATTAATATTTCAAATTAGAATCAGAAATTCTATGTTTTTTAGATAGGGAGCTATCCTAGTTCATTTATTTCTCATATTCATTCATAATAGAAGTCTTTGACTTTTAAAAAATTTCCTTATAGTATATTATTATTTTGAAACTTAAAACAAGAATAAAACAAGAAATCACATGACCACAAGGAAAGAAATACGTAAAGCAATCTCTGTTATTTTTATTATCATTCATGAAGCTGTCTCAAATACCTTTTTTTCTCTCTACTTTTTTATATGCAAGACATTAATGATAAGAGAAATGAATAATGTATGATAAATTTTTTTAATATCAAGCATGGTATTCCTATTTAACGAAAAAGTATTCCTATCTAACAGAGAGTAGCGATAAGCATATGTTTGGTGGACATCATTAGAAGACAATTGTTGTGTGATTGGGTTGTAAGATTTTTTGAAAATTTCGAAAATCATCTGATATAAGAAGTAGCTGCTATTTTAGTGTAAAGAAGGGGAAGAGGACTGATAGTATTGCGGTTTGGAATTTTTTTTTCTTTTTAAAATTTACTTCCTTTTTTCAGTTGACATTGCCGGAGGGTGAGCGCTGTCGAGTAATTTGCTCAGCTACCATTGATGTTGGCCATTTCTTTCTTCAGCAACCTCAACATCCAACATTTAACGCACTGCAACGGCTAGATTATTATATGCTTGGCGTCTATATGCAGCTAGCAGGTGTACCGGATTTGCCGAGACCAGTAGACGGTTAGTATTGTTCTCAATGTTTTTGATATTGTGAAATCGGTATTGTAGAGAAAAAGGAGCAAATCAAATATGGATGCTTATATTTCTAACTCTTAAGTTTCTAAGCTTATGGAAATTTTTAGTTGATAAGTTATGTGTTGCACCAGCTTTCGATGGTTGGTATCGTGCAGTAACACTCGATTACTACCAAGAAGAAGATGAAGTTATGGTAAGATATGTAGATTATGGTGGTTATGGTCGTCTTCCAAGAAGCGATTTGCGACAAATAAGGTTAGCCAGTCAGTATCAGGATAAAAGTTTGCTCCCGCTAAAGGCTCATCTTAGTACGGTGGACAGTGGTTTTTATTTCGAAGCATTAAAAATTATGTATGGTATAAACTTCATTTCTAGTTGCCAAGTAGTTTTGAATTTAAATGATAAAATGTCGAGTTTGAGTTGTTTTGACGGAAATTTAAGAACCTTTCGGAATATATTATAAAATTTTAATTTTAATAGTTTGCTAAATGATTCTGGCATAAAAGAAATGCTGGTGTATATTAATGATGATAGAGTTGAAAATCAGTGCAATTTTTATTTTTTATAGAACTGATTTCATGACGCTGCCATTTCAAGCTACTGAATGTTATTTGGCACATGTTATGCCCGCTGATGGTATCATTTTCATTTTTTAGTAAAAAAAAGGGAAAGAAAGAAGAGGAAAGTTACAAGCTTATTAAAAGGATCTAGCAGATCACTTTCTTTTCCTACTTTGATCGGTTAATGTTAATGATCTCATAGGGCATTTTCCAAAAAACTTAGATATGAACTGCAAAGATTCCGGCTTTAACGGTTACATTATTTTTTGATTTCTTGTGTTTTATTTCGTCATTTATTGCTCTCATATATTGTTCATTACTTTCGAGGAACAACAAAGTGGTCCGATGAAGCACGGGAGCTGTTCCAAATGTTGACACAGGGCCGCACACTGGAATGTTATGTTGTTGGCTACCACATTGAAGATTCAAGACCATTTGTCGAAATATTCGCAACCGATAAGAATAATAGGGTTTAGTTTCTTCATTTCAGAGAACAGTTTTACTGTCAAAATTGATTGTTGGGATGTTTGAAACTTAAGAAAAATTATGAAGATTTAGAAATTTGAGCTGAAGTGATTTAATATTTTTTTTAGGTAGATCGAATTGATAGTGCTCTGTTAGATGCAAACCTTGCCAAAGCATGGGATCCATCGAAAGTTAGACCAGTGCTTCCAAGGCCAGTACCGCCATTAACAAGTATACCTTTGGTTGGTCATGTTGGAAATGAAATTTTTGTTGCAGAGTGAAAATCAGAAATAAGTTCATTTATTATGCGAAAAAATTTTATTCATAGAGCTTCTTGTTTTTGTCAACAACTTAATTCCAGCAACTCTTCATGGATGAAAATTTCCCATTTTTCTTCAAATTTTAACTAAACCTGCCCCAAATTTTCTTAGCAATTACATAATTCTCAATTTCAGTTCAATTTTTGCTGGAATATTTATGATTTCCTTTGATTACAACGATATTTTATATTACTGAAAATCGTGAGGTTTCATTTCATGTTTTCAAATTTTATATATCCGTTTAGAATGATATTTTTTCATATGTATTTCAATATTTTCAAAATACAACAGAAGTATTGAATATCTTTCATTTTTTTGAGTTTTTAATCAGAGATGTACCTCCCATTTTTCTATTGCTTGCATTTTATTCCCATTTTCTGCAATGTAGCTGTCTTAGTTTTTATGATGTTCCTTCCACATTTCCACTTTCTTTTCCTTATATAAATATACTTTAGTTTTTTTTAATATGAAAATTTTCGGCTTTATAATAATTCTTTCAAATCTTCCATGTGTTTATTTTGTTTTCTATTGGCCTTTATTTTTATCACTACTTCTCGTTCTAATCGCTATTTTTTTTAATGGTCTGCTGTGCAAGAAATTTTGTCTATTGCTTTCATTGCAGATTTATTCTTTCTTGTACATTTTTATTTTGTTGCAAGTTTTCGCAAATCACTGTTTTGCCAGTTTCATGAGAGTATCAAAATGTCCTTTTGCTAGGTGTAGTATTCCTTTGCCGGGTGTAAACTGACTTTTTATAGCATCAATTTTTGTTAATTTGATAGCAAAATGATGTTAGTTATACTATGAGTCATGCAGAAATTGTGTAAAATGATTTGGCTTTTTTGGTGGATTTTAGAAAGATTGATATATATCAATCTTGCTAAAATCTAAGTTTTTGTGTTTGGTTTGGAGAATGCAATTGTTCATAAGGCCGTTCTCACGACAGCAATGCTAGAGTCAAAAATTGAGGCCGACGATGATAATTGACTGATAAACGGAAACATGGCTCTTGCTGGTCACATATTATTTGAATTTAAAATTCTTGATGCCAATTTCTTGTTTCAGTATTTTTTCTTCGTCCTGATTGCCGGGTGCAAGACACCGGGTACTGCTTGTTTACGTACTGTTTTAATTTTGAACATTGTTTCAAATCAATCCAATTTCGGGTTTCAAATCAGTTTGATATCGGTATATGTTTTCTTCGTTTCTCTTACTGTTTCTTGGGAAATTGTTTGCTGTTTACTTCCACAATTTTCATTTCTTCTTTGTTCTATTCATTTTAAATAATTTACCGGTTTTGTCCGTTATTTCTTGGGATTTTCATTAGTTTTTTTCTGTGCTTGTGAATTAAATAAGTGTCCCCAACATATTTGGTCTCAGCACCTGCTCATGACATGATGAGAAAGTCGGCATATGTCGAAAAATAAGCCGAAACAAAAGATTTATGCCCGTTGAGGAATGCATAACAATTGTAAGATCGAACCGAACGTTTTATTGACTGATCGAGAACAAGACCACAATTGAATAGCTTGGTACGGGTAAATAGGAGGTTTTGATGGATTCCTTCGAATGATTTTGTAAATTGTGAGATCATATACACGTCCCGCGTAGTTTTTCTCCGACGAAGCCGTGCTCAAAGTTAAACTCTTCTGTGGCTAAATTAATGAATCATTGTTTTATTGAACTGCATAGACATAAAAACAGGTAATATTACATCAATAAAAAAAGACATGCACGAAGTGCATCTGTACAAAAACCATATATGTATATATATATGGAAGGATACGGTTAACAGGAGTACTCTGCAAGAAACAAGCAATATATTTTCATCTGACTTCTGTTCTTACCCTCCAGTTTTCTCAATACCCAAGACGTATACAGAATTTCAAAAATGATTCATCGGATAAACTGGATTCTGTGTAGCTATCATTGGATCACTACCATTAGTGTGATAATGATGATGATGGTATGCCGGTTGAAAAAGCGGGACTTGAACTGAAATGGAACAACTGGACAAATGGATGAAAATGAACGGCAAAGGGAAAAGAAATAGAAAATTACAAAACATTGGAACGCATAGATGCGATTCGCAATGGCTACCTTCCTTATCGGAATGTCAATTAACCTTTCCAGGAAAATACGTCTATATTTCTCTGTTATTTGATACCTAAGATAGCGGATATGACAAGAATGAGTACAACTTATCTAATTAGCTAGCTTACATGTAACTATCACTTGGAAAGGATGTGAAACTTACATTGATATGATTGTTGCTGCACATTCATTTCTGGTTGCTGCGCATAATAAGACATTCCGTTGTTCGGATATTTCATCGAATGAACATCATATTGCTGTGGTGTGGAGCACTCAACAAACGTTTGAGATGGAAATCGTGGAAAAATGGATGACTTATTTGGATTGCTATATTGATTATAGCAATGACCAAATCTTGGATATTCAATCCCATTATACATTCTTGCATTATCCTACAAAAGATAAAAGAACAATGTACATGATTTTTAGGCTTTTCCAAAAGTTTAATAATTTTATTTTGAAGAAATATAAAACACTGAACATATTTCAAATATTACACTGCCTTTTAATGAAGTCTATCATTTGAATATATGAAATTAATTAGCTAAAATTCAAAATAAGACATGAAGATTTTTTTCTAAAACAAAGTACCATATGTGAAAACGGCGCATTATTTGCGGACACATGGCAACCATTGTTAAATAAATCTAATAGCTGCTGCTGTTGTTGATAACGTGAATGATGATATTGTTGAAAATGCGCAAACTGATAGTGCTGCTGCTGCTGCTGCTGCTGCTGCTGGTGATGTAGTAGTTGTTGACTGGGTACTGTTGCAGCTGCTGGAATTGTAGCTGCAGTGCTGTACATACTACAGCCATTAACGTTATTGTTGCCACCATTAATATTATTATTGCTCACTAGTGAGGTTAATGGTAAAGCAGCATTAGTGCTACCAATACTACTAGCACTGCTACTGCTACTAGCATTCCTCGTACACAATAACGAATTATCCTGTACCATTGTTGATGGTGCTGGTACTGCTAATGGAATTCGTTGTTGTTGATCACCTTAAAATGACATGTAATTACTGATTTATCTATCGATTAGAAAAGTGATGCTTCTATGAAAATTGAAGTTGAAACTTTTATGCATACCTCCAGTGATTTGTCTATTTCATATATTTAGAAAAAATCAAATCTCTATCTGATTGAATTTTTGTCAAGTCTTTTAATAAGTACTAAACAATCAAATTATAACCACTTTATTACATTTGAAAACGTTGAAATTGCTCATCTTTCTGAGGAAGTAAGTCTTCAACTAAAGCTATGATGGGTTACAATTTGGTTGTTTAGTAAGGAGATACGTTCTTTTCGAGAGAGTTATGTTAAACAAAATTTAAATAATGAACTGATAAAAAACCAAAAAAATATCACTAACTAGCAGCAATCATATCATACATAACATTACTTACAAGGTGGTGTAAGGGCACCTTGTTGGGGTGTTACAGCAGCACTATGCGAATCATAAAATGAATTTGTGGAACATCGAGCGGATGCAGAAAGATGTGCTGGAGATAGAGCACTATTAGGCGTACCACAGGTAGCTGACATCGGTGAAACTATCTGAAAATAATTTTTTTTCATATGCATATCTATCATATTCCACTCCATATTAATTCTTCGTAAAAGCAAATCGAGAAATTCTACAAATTCTAAAATCTAGTTTAATTTATCAAATTTATAACCGAACTTATTTGTTAACTTAATTCGAATCATAACACCAATTAGAAAGATATTTTATTATTTACCGAACTGCTTGCGGATTGGACTTTAAGCTTTTCAGCTTCTGCAGTTAACGTGGACGGCTGTTCGTCGTCACAACGATTAACTAATACTCCTTCCAAGCAGTTTCCTCCAAGATCATCCAGTGAATTACCCTACAAATAGCACACTGAACTGTAAATCCCCACAATTAAAAAATGAATGCGAAAACGATTAATATCATAAATAGTATAATATAGACATAAACAGCGTATTTCGTGTAGTAATTCTAAAATCTCCTATCTTCCACCCATACGAAAGAACAATTGCAGAATCTGTAATGTTTGTTTCTTTTAAATGAAGGATCAATTTGAATCACAAAAGTATTCCATTAAAATAGAAATCAAATATATCAACTCAATGCTCTTAACTATTTCATATTATATGAAATTTGACTGCATTTGTAGCTTTGAATCCCTACAATCTTAAATTAAGATTCAAAATTTGGTGTAGTTGCCAGCGTTTTTCAGCTGCTAAAGTGTTGTTCCAGCTTAAAGTTTATCAATAAATTCCATTACTTGCAAAACTAATTCCTAACATTATCTGAAGCTAAATGTATCGAGTAGAAATACCGGTCTAATTTGATCCATAAGGTCTTTTACGTGCGATTCAGCTAACTCTGGCATTGCTGACAAGTTGCTCATTTCTTCGGGTATAGCGGGCGCTTCTTGCGCCTGTGATGTTGTTGGTAATATTGAACTACCCAATCTTGTTTGATCGTACTGTTCAGCTCTTTCTAATTCGGGGACAGTACAGTTCATCGGATGTACTTCCTTAGCCATCGATTTATTGGACTACAAAGAATATATTGTTCCTATTGATAAAATTATCTCCAATATTTGATGTTAAAATTTTAAAATCAAGATTCGAAACAATGAAAATGATGAAAAAACGAAATTAATTTAGAGTTAATTTAATGTAAATTATTTTAACAACAAATTTATATTTCTTACATCTGTTCCATCATTATAATTGCTTGTTGGACAATAAGGCACTTGTTTCGGCATCACGGTTGAATACTTAAATGAATTAGTAGTTTGCATTAGAGATACATTATTCTGAAGCATTTCTGGCTTTTTTCCGTGATATACATTACACGGATCGCTCATGATGGTCATATGTGCGTATTGCGTCCATCCACTATTGCCTTCAAATGGCCGTTTTCGAATCTGAAAATGATGTGCAGCTGAAAAATATCGCGCAGATGTCTAATTTTTTCACCTATAAAATGTTAAGCTATTTTTGAATTTTATTTTATTTCATTTCATTCTGTACTGAAGAACTCTTCATGTAAAATGCTTAATATTTGAAAATTGGGAACTTACATTAGGCTTACAAGCTGACATGGTTGGATAGTTTGGTACAAAAGGAGCTGCAGTTCGTAATACTTGCATACATCCAGGATAACCCTGAGATGAGGAAAGAAGTTGTGGATGATGATGGCCATGAGACTGTGCTATTGATAATGGCGCTTCCCGAGGTTTCGCCTGCTGTTCCATGTATTGTTTCATCGCCGCTTCCAAATATCTGAAATTCTTCGAAAGTTTGAAATATAAACCAAAGATACTGTTTGTTGACAAAACAATAATATTTATAATACTTCAATATATGATATCTAAGCATTGAAATTATAACCCACTTGATTAAGTATCAATTCTAGAAAATACTGAAAACATGAATTTCTTTCGATAAAATCAACAAAATTCGTATCTTTACAATCCAAAATATTAACAATAAGAATACAAAGATCGCTTTATAAAATGTTAATATCGAAAGGGGGAATAGACAAGCAGGATGATTGCAAATTATGAAATTCGCAACCTCAAAGGCATACGAAATTTCTTTATTAATAATAACACATAGTTTACATTATAAGCAGGTCAATGAACCTCATAATAACTCCTGCGATAGGATAACAGATCTGTGGATTGGCTAAATGCTAAGGTCAGATGAAAAGATCAAGCAATCAATATTGAAGAACTCCACAAACTTCTTTTTTATCCTAAGAAGATACTACCACAATAAAAGAAAGCAATGACAAGATGATCAAAAAAATCAAACCTTCGACGATACTTTTCCATTTCAGCTCTTTCTTTCTTTAATCGTTCTATTCGAGCATTCTCTTGTCGTTGCTTTGTCCGTTCCGCTATTAATTTCGTATTTTCAATGCAACCTAAAAATCGAGCACGTCGCTCCTTCCATCGTGAACTAAATCTCTCATCAGTATATGTCATGCCCTTTGGTCTGGAATGAAAAACAATCGAATAATAATATAACACAGTAAAAAATTTCAAATTGCCCTTAACAGTTAATAATTTTACTGATTCATTTATCGATTTCTACAACATTTATTAAAGTTCGATTTGAATTTACATTCGAATATACAAGTATATTCTAAATGAAGAGGATTTGATTTCTTATTTACAACATTTTAACAAAAATTTTTTTTGTTTATCTAACAAAGTGTACTGTTCGAATACTTACATAACTGCTGATTCCTCTTCAACAACAGATGTTGAAGGCAAAACTGCTGCTAAACCACCACTGTTCATTAATTCAATTCGTTAATAGGAATTCCAGTGAATCAATTCAAATAAAACAGTAAACATCCCTGAAATTTAGACAAATTGACTGTTAAATCCATCAGTAAACAAATGATGCGAGAAATGCATGAATCATTGCCAAATCAAATAAATATGTAAGTAAAAATAAATTAATTGCTGCATGGATAAAACATAAAAACACGTAAATCCAGAATGAAAATGAAATAAAGTTTAAATTATATGCTATTATATAGTATAAACAGGTGTCATTTTTTTAATAAGTACTTTTTATGTCCACTTTTTTAACCTAACTAAAAAGAAATATATCAGTTTCAACCAACGATACAATTATCTTCCAAATTTCAGTTAATCAGTTTAAATTAATGATAAATTTTGTTCATCTAAAATTTAAATTTTAATCGAAAAATAGCAAAAGTTTTTTTTTGCATTGCTTTTTTCACAGCAATGCCAAAAGATAGAAGTATTTATGGGTTTGCAAATTTCTCTTCAAAGTAAGCACTTTTGTAGTGATTTTTCAATGAAAGTGTTGTAAAACATATTTCTTTTCACTCTTTTTCTCTTTTTTTGCGCTGAAAGAAAACGAAAGGACATCTATAATTGAAAGAGACAAAAGTAATAACAAAGTTTGTATGCCCCATTTGCAGTAGCAAAGTTAATATAAGAGAGAAAGTATCAAATTTTCAAGAACTACTAAGAGAACTGATTCCTGATTTACTGATAAATTGAACTAAAAAAAAATTAGCAGTTTATTTGTGTTTATTTCAGTTGTTCAACGATATGATTGCATAGCGGCAAATTCATGTGGTCTAACAAAATGTGAACATCTGATATGTTGTCCGAAAATTAAACATATTTGACATTCTCAGTTATTTCAAAGCAATGACAACAAGAAATTCATACTATCGATATTTTTGTTAAGCATAAATTTGCTAATGAAAAAATGAAATAGAAAGCTAAAATAAGCGAACAGTTAAACTGGTTATGATACTGTGACGTCTATTTTGGTTTATCATTGCTATTTTGTATGATGCAATAAGCTGAATCATAAAATATGCTAGTGAGGAAGCTAAAAATAAAAATAAAAAAACTGAACTAAATCTGAATAATTTCCGAAACAAAATATATGACTCATTTAAAAATTAAAAGTAAAATGTAGAAGATTGGTTTTAGCGGAGAGAAAAAAATATTAGCAAAGAAATAAAATTAAAAATTCGAAAACTAAATGACAGAGCCTATCGAGTAACAATTAAAATCCATTAACATAAAAACATTTTTAAAAAACAAATTGTTCATTAATTCATTTCATCTCCGATAATTGTTTTCAATCAATTCAAATGCCAAGTGAATCAAAAAAGAAATCTTAGTAATAAATATAAAATAATTATGAATAACTAATGTGCCAATTTGCAATTATGAATGAAATTGATCACTTATAATGATGATAATGATGAAGATAATTGATAAAAAATAATGCAGTCATTGCGAAACAATGATAGATAATGACGGTAATGATAAGAATGACTGATGACGTCATGAATAATTAAGCTATCATCTTTATTTGAAAAATCTCTGATAACAAGATCATTTCATTTGCTAAAACGATTTGCAAATTAACGCAAACTATTGTCATTTATTGTAATTGGTAGTTAATTCATGCCACAGCTGCCTCTCTCATTTATTCATCACAATTTAAAAATGTCAAACATTATTAAAATTCATGAAAAATATCAACGAAATACATCTGTTACAGGGAAAAATACCGATTGTTTGACGGCAAATCAATCATTTCTATTATAATATATCGTATCATTTTTTGGTACTTTTATTATGAGAATGGAATAACAAAGGACTTGACCAATTTCGCCTTTCACTCGAATTAAAAAAGTATTCAAATTATTAAGTTCATGCAATTATCATTTTCTAGTTTTTTTTTTCTTTTTTGAAAAAAAAAACTACCTTCAAAAGAATACAAATGATAGATGGGCGAAGATGAGAGAAATTAGTAAAAGGGTTTGCTTCTAATTAATGTTAGATTATTTTTTATTTTCTCAAATCTTATTTCCAATCCAATTTGTGGTGGATGAATTCCTCAAATTTATAATGTCTTTCTTTGAGCATAATGTGTAAAAAAAATGAAAAAAAAGAAAATGAGTACCAGCTTTCTTCACAAATAAATCAACTGAATGCACTCACATTGACTATTTCATCTCATTTTACATTTCCAATTTTATGGTAGCTAAAATAGCTCAGCTATCAAATATTCATTAACTGTGAAGCAATTCACGAAATTTCTTTTAAATTAGAAAATTATTAAAAAATTTTTTGCTTGTTTCTTTCTGCATTCACTATGATATTAAAATTTCAAACAAATGAAATAAAAAAATCATAAAATTTAACCTATATATTCTAGCACTAAATTAATAAACTAAAAACTAAAACAAAAAAAAACTTGAAAATTTTAAATGAATTCTGAAAGGATGAGATTTCTATCATTCCTTGTACAATTTTTGATAAGCAAAAAAATTATTAAAGCAAATATGTTGTGTTTTATGGGATTGTTGTCATCCTTACAGTGTGATAAAAGTTCCAGCTTTACAAGAAATAAAAAAAAGAAAGAACCTATCCGGTGTTTTATGGCATTTGATTAAAGGATAAAACAATAAGCATGAATTTTGCATTTTCAAAGCAGTCGAAAGTTTAGTTCAAAGAAAATTTCTAGAAGTTAATAAATCAATGAAATACAAAATTCAAACTAGATTTAAAAATTTTTTGAATTCAAAATTAGATTAAAAGTATGGAAGAATAGATAGACAGTAGTTCAGTAATAAATAATGATAAAAGTAAAAGTTGCTGTCATATTTCAATGAATTAACAACTCACATTCGCATTTAATACAATTCATTCAAACTGCTAAAAATAATCGGTAAATTTAGAATAAAATAAATTATAACAACAATCTTTCTACGGAATAAATGGTGAATTAAGAAAAAAGAATACTTCCAAAAAAAAAACACATTTTCATTATTTTTTTGCATCCACTTCAGTTCAATTACCATCCCATTATCAATTGAAATAATTTATTCTTATTTAAGTATAAATAATAACAAAAACAAAAACAACAAACAATAAACTGATCTTTAAGGTGGAATTAAACAAATTTACTACTTCCCTTCCAGTTTTTTTTTTACAGTGTATTATTAGGAATATGTTTTTTTTTTGCAAAAATCCTTCTTCTTCAGATATCGTTAATTTCATTGAAAGATTATCGTTATAATTTATTTTATTTAAAAGTTATCGATTATTTTTAGCAGTTTGCATAAATTATATCAAATTTTTATTAAACTTAAAGATAGTTCGATTTGAGAGATAAGATAATTCGATTCACATATATGACGAATTATGTTACAACGATAAATTTAATAGCAAAAAAAAACTAAAATACCTTAAAAAAATTATATCCTTCTCCACCTCCTTCCTCGCCTTCTCCTCCCCCTCCTCCCCCACCTTTTCTTCCTCCTCCTCCCCCTCCCACTGCTACTACAACTCGTAATGAAAAATAAAAGGGGAAGAAAAAAAAAAAGAAAAAGGAAGAAGAAATATAAAAAATAGCCTCTTTCCTCCTTCCTCCTTCTTCCTCATCGTTGGATTGCAATCATTGCTACCGCGTTGCTGACTACTTGGAGGGCGCCGCATCATTTCTGCATAAAATATTGAAAAAAAAATGCATTAAGAATTGCTTCTATCCTCTAAAATAGAGCTCTCTCTCCCTCTCCCTCTCTTTTCTTTTTTTTTTCTTTTTATTTGGAATGGCCTGATGAATGGAAGGAAGTGATGAACAGCTAAGTTTTTTTTTTCTTTTCTCTTTTTTTTTTTTAGATTTCATTGTAAAAAGTGAAAACAGAGAAGAAGGACGAACGACAACGATGACTGACTGATTGCTGCTTTGAGTAGCGGTGTGTATACTCGAACGCCGAAACAGAAAAAAAAAACGATCAAACTATTTGCCTCTCCCTTGAAGTTATACCACAGCTATGTAATAATACAACAATGTGCTACTATGATTAGGTCATAAGGAAAAGCAACATTCACAAGGCAACAAATTCTCGCATGCCTTATTGATTCAGGCTTATACTCAATGATTAACTCCGTAAAACTTCAACAGTTACTCACTTTTGATTTACGCTCACGCAGCGTCATTTACACGCTCATAGAACATCGTTTATCCATCTCTATTTCATGCTCATGTAACATTATTCGCTATTCGGGAGATTTCTTTCCAAAAATTAATTAAATCACTATACGGGAGATAGTTGATTAAATTGCTCTAATAATAAATACCATAAAATCTTTCACTATAAAAGTATGAATAAAATATCTGTTTGTTTATTTGTTCAATAATGATTTATCTTAAATTTTTGAATGAAGTTAAAAAGTAAAATGAGAGGGAGAAAGAGAGAGAGAGAGAGAGAGAGAGAGA